CCGCAGAAATTAATGTTCCGATCGATCTCCGTTCCAGTTCCCAAGGTACATTCGGCTATAATCGCGAGCAGAAGTAACGAGTACTTTTCGAACACGATAAAAAATCACCGATAAAAGAATCTGCTTCGTTACGAACCAATAAGCTTATTGAAAGCGTCGTAGGTACAAATGCTTTTAAAGGATAACGCGCGAGCTCTAATATAATCACCGCCGACACCGTTATACCATTAACGATTCGTATAATTCCGCCTACGAACACGCATCGATCTTCGAACGTTACTGCTGATGATGCACGAAATTTAGAAGTATTTATGACCCATTTTTCTGCGACTCTGTCGTAATTTTCTTTATTCTACCCCCGGATTCGCTCGTCGCTCGTTTCGAGAGGATGAAACGTGTATTGCACTCCATATCGGTAACATAAACGCGTCAACGTGGGGTGATGACGGAAGAGGGAGACAAGAGATAGAAGCATCGTGACACTTTTTTTTCATCGCACGGTTAACTTCGTGGGTCTCTGTGCATCTGTTCTTTTTTTTGGAGATCAAAGACTGTTTTGATGTCTAAATTTGAGGATATTCTAATTGTCAGATTACTGAAGGCCTCACATCCCCAAAATTTTATTTATCAAAATCGTTGCATCTCCAAATTTCTATACCTCCAATATCCCATATCCTCAACTTCTCACATGTCCAAATTACCACATCCCCAACTTCTCACATCTTCAAATTTCCATATCCCCAATTTCTCACATATCCAAATTTCTACATCCCCCAATTTCCACATGGTACAATTCCCAAATTCTAAAATTTCCGAATCCCCAAATTTCTACACGTTCAAATTCCCACGTCCCCAATTTCCAAATCCCCAAATTTTATTTCACAGAATTCTCACTTCTCCGAATTTCTACACCCCTCAAATCCCAAACCCCTAACTTCTCGCAGCTTTAAATTCCTACACCCCCAAAATCCCAAACCCCCAACTTCTCATATCTCCAAATTTCCATATCCCCAATTTCTCACATATCCAAATTTCTACATCCCTCAATTTCCACATGTTCCAATTCCCAAATTCTAAAATTTCCGAGTCCCCAAATTTCTACACATTCAAATTCCCACGTCCCCAATTCCCAAATCCCCAAATTTTATTTCACAGAATTTTCACATCTTTAAATTCCTACACCCCCCAAATCCCAAACCCTAACTTCTCACATCTCTAAATTCCTACATCCACAAAATCCCAAGCCCCTAACTTCTCATATCTCCAAACTCCTACACCCTCCAAAAGCCCAAGCCCCTAACTTCTCAAATCTCCAAACTCCTACACCCTCCAAATCCCAAACCCCTAACTTCTCATATCTCCAAATTTCTACACCCCGAGAATCCCAAACCCCTAATCCTACATCTCCCAAATTCAAAACTCTCCAAATCTTCAAGCGTCCTCCACAATATCCACAATATCAAACATCTTCCAGGTTTCCAAACTCCCAAATCCCCAAAATCTCAACCACAAGTCCGCAGAATCTCAGAAAAGGACAACAACGATGAGGAAGGAATCGCCTTATTTCGCCAGGTAGTCGGGTCGCACTTAAAGGCGTGATCCTTGCGCATCTTACTTGCAATTCCTTCGCTTCCCCGGCTGAATATCGTATCAAAGGATATTTAAAACGGTCTTCGGTTTGAAAGAAAGTTTCCTTTGGACCGTTGAACAAAAGCCAGTCAGGGTGAGAGCAACTCTCCCCCAACCCTTTCCGGCAATATTTAATGGCTGAGAGTTCGATTCAACACACCGTTCCTCGTCGACGAATTTCTCCGTCGAGTTCGCGCCGCAGCAAATCGTCTTTCCAGCTTGAAACTTGAATATAAATATCCTCGACCTCGTTTATTGCGCTCCTTCCAGTCGTGAAGCCTAGAAAAGAGCGTGTCCTCCTTTTTCACCGATCACGCCCGATATGCCCCAGGAATCTTTTCCGATCCTTTGACGCACGAAACGCTTTCAAAATTCATGTCCGCAGGGCTGGTCACGATACGCGAACGACGTTCAAAGTGTACCTCCTGTATGTGTGTATGGTTCCCTACACGTGTACACATATCTATCGATGTGTCGTCCGGTAATCAGAACGCTGATTCGTCGTCGACGACGACGCTTCTCCCACTGGCCGGATAAACGACCCTCTTCAATAATACATAAGACGAATTCCCGGAGAGATCAAAGGACTGCTTCGCCGATCGGTTAAGCGGTTTGATATACATATGGAAATGCCACTAGGCCACTGCATTTACTTGCTATACTGGATCAACGTGTCCCAGCGCGTCTGACCGATATCTTATCGATATTTAACGATTTAACGATGGTATCACGACTTCGTTCAAATATTCAAACTAATTGCAGTGCTGCAGGTTTTAGACAGATTAGGTTAGGTTTTCATATTTAAATATTTCAAATAAAATTTTATTATTGCTTGGATATTAAGTTAATAAATTTTTAGACTAGTTTATCTTATTAGGTAAGTGTTTATTTGGTAAGTTTTTGTTACGCAGATCTTTTAAGTTAGTTTTTATTATAACATGTCTGTTAGTTACGTTTTGTCGCAGGAATCTGTTAGGTTAGCTTTTGTAATACAAGTCTGTTAGGTTAGGTTTTATTATACGAGTCTGTTAGGTAAGTATTTTTTATACAGATCTTGTAGGTTAGTTGTTATCTTATTAAGTAAGGTCTTATTAGATAAGTTTTTGTTATGCAAATCTTTCAGGTTCATCTTTATTATACAAGTCTGTTAGGTTTTGTCATACGAATCTGATAGGTTAGTTTTTATTATACAAGTCTGTTAGGTTAGGTTTCATTATATGAGTCTATTAGGTAAGTTTTATTATACAGATCTTTTAGGTTAGTTTTTATTATACAAGTCTGGTTGGTTAGATTTTATTGCATGTGTCTCGTAGGTTAGTTCTTATTATACGAGTCTGGTAGGTTAAGTTTTATTACATGTATCTACTAGGTTAGTTCTTATTATACACGCCTGTTAGGTTAGGTTTTAATATGTATCTGTTAGGTTTTACTATATGTATCTGTTGTGTTAGGTTTCATTACATGTGTCTGTTAAGTTAGTTCTTATTATGCACGTCTGGTAGTTAGGTTTTGTCATACGAATCTGATAGGTTAGTTTTTATTATGCAAGTCTGGTAGGTTAGGTTTTATTGCATGTGTCTTGTAGGTTAGTCCTTATTATACGAGTCTGGTAGGTTAAGTTTTATTACATGTATCTGCTAGGTTAGTTCTTATTATACACGCCTGTTAGGTTAGGTTTTAATATGTATCTGTTAGGTTAGGTTTTATTATGTGTATCTATTGGGTTAGGTTTTATTACATGTGTCTGTTAGGTTAGTTTTTATTATGCACGTCTGGTAGTTAGGTTTTGTCGTACAGATCAGTTAGGTTAGTTTTTATTATGCACGTCTGGTAGTTAGGTTCTGTCATACGGATCAGTTAGGTTAGTTTTTATTATACAAATGTTTTAAGTTAGTTTTTATTATATACATTTTTATTATATCCGGTATAGTAATATTTCGTATTTCCATGCAATTTATTACCGCCCCCCGCATTAACTTCTGTAGCCCGGTACGCCGTTAAACTGTTTGCCGCAGCCCGTTTACCGAGAACGATTCTCGTTAATGATAAATCAGAGAAGCCGGTGAACTGATCAAAGGGAGATGACCGCGCGACCCGGAAGCAATTAAGCTTTCGAAGGTAGACGATGAAATACCCAACAGGACGTTCGATTTACCGTTATTCCCAAGCTTGATCGTTCGCTATCTGTACCGTTGCGTCTGAACGCGTTAAGCCTTTTCCACCGGCGTTCCAAACTACGATGCGTGTATCACCGAATCATCCAGAAGCAAACTTTCCTATCAAAAGCTTCCATCGACCGGCTAAGAGTAATTACTATCGATACGGGAGCCCCTAGTCTTTCATAATACTGATACGATATTCTACGAAGATCAAAGGATACCTTGCAATATCGTTACTTTGTTCAAGTTTTCGAAACAGAGCGGAAATTCGAGGAGGGTATTAAAGCATCAATTTTTTAAGCTTACCAACAAAGTTCAACTTCGGGTTCATTTGCATGCGAGTGTGCAGGTGAAATAAATCTCCTAACGAGCTTCTCGTGTTATGTTACGATTACAAAACGTTATGCAGCGGCTCTCATTCTTGACAAACTATCGCGATTTTATGCAATGCTCTTACGAAATTACCAAGGACTACGCATTTTAGATTAAGTTTAAAAAATTACTTGATTTAAAGAAAATTTCTCAAATCTTATAGTCATTTAGACTTGAAAAATTTCATAGTCTTTGAGTACAAAAGCTTCGAAGCTGACATGACTTCAAAATTTAAAAAATTCCAGGATGCTAAAATTTCAAGAATCTACAATCTTGTAGATTAAAAATTCCAAAACCCAATAACTCACTAATCCTAAGAAGCTAAAGTCCTAAACTAAAAAAATACTAAAATTCCAAACCTCCCAGTCTCAGACCAAAAATGTCAGGATCCCAAACTGGAAGAGCACCAAGATGGCAATGTATGAAAGTCCTAAACATCCTAAATTACGAAACATGAAAGTTCCAAAGTCCCAGAACTTTCAAAGACCGAAAATGATTCAAGACACCGAAGAACCACTGTGCGTACCGCTTGCATGTTAGTCGGATCGTGATCCTTTGAATAGAAGCTCTATCCGCCTCTATCCGTGAAAGCTGTACTTGATGGTTCGTTAATGCTCTTCCTAGTTGGCGTGGAAATTACCTTCGCACAGAAGCAACAAGCTCCGTTCTTTAATCGTGGACGATGTTCGAAAGCGCAACATCTGTTCCCCGAGAACGAGGTTCCCTCGTTCCGCCAACTTTTCTTCGGGGAAACAATATTAAGTTTTCGCGGACAGTCGGAAGATTAAAAGGGACGTTCGGTGGCGAACGTGCAGCGAGTTAAATCGATAACTGTTACAGGTCACCGTCGACTTGGGCAAAGACGCTGAATTTCAATGCTCCGTCACGGGACAACCGGCTCCGGTGATCTCGTGGACCAAGGACGGACTTCCGGTGAGAGAGGGCGCCTCCGGCAGGAGCAAGATCACCGGAAACGATGGATCCACGTTGCACGTGTCCTCGGTCGCCAGGGATGACAAGGGCATGTATCAGTGTTTCGCTAAGAACGACTACGAAATGGTCCAAGCGGCTGCCGAACTTCGTTTAGGGGGTAAGTAATGATAACATGTTATCACCTTATATTATTGCAAATGAAACGTTTATTGAATTATGGAGAAATGGAACAGTTTACACACGTTGTTTTGGTGGAGATTCTCAAATAGGTGTGTTATGAAAAATATTGTACCTTTCATGACGATTAAGAGAAACGGTTATAAGCAATGGTTACAATATGGTTGACTTGTGCTACTGCAAACGTAAAGTGTATTGTTACTGTTCTTAAATTACGTATCTGTTTTATTAATGCAAGTATGTATTCTTTGAAAGGATGCATTCTGAATGTGTTCTTCTTGAAGAGAAGTACTGATAACATTTAATAATGATGGCTTTGTGATTGACCTGTACTACTGAAAATTTCATAATCATAATACAAAGTGTTCTATACCATTGTTCTCTTAAAAATGTCTACATTCTTCAATTATAGAGCTACAAATTTATTGATAACATTTAGTAATGACGGCTGTATGATTGACTTATACTACTGAAAATTTCATTGTCATACTATAAAGTGTTCCACATTATTATTCTCTTAAAAATGCCCACATTCTTCAACTATAGATCTACAAATTTGTTGACAGCATTTAGTAATGACAACTGTATGATTGACTTGTACTACTGAAAATTTCATGATCATACTATAAGGGTTTTATACCATTGCTCTTTTAAAAAAGCCTACATTCTTCAATTATAGATTTATAAATTTATTGATAACATTTAGTAATGACGGCTGTATGATTGACTTATACTACTGAAAATTTCATAATCATAATACAAAGTGTTCTATACCATTGTTCTCTTAAAAATGTCTACATTCTTCAATTATAGATCTACAAATTTATTGACAACATTTAGTAATGACAGCTGTATAATTGACTTATACTACTGAAAATTTCATGATCATAATATAAAACGTTTTATACCGTTGTTCTTTTAAAAATGCCTACATTCTTCAATTATAGACCTGCAAATCTACTATCTGTTTTGTTAATCAACAAGGAAATAATGATTTGAACTGCAGACAAAAGATGAAACTGCTAATGCAAAGTGCACATGTAAATTATAAAATGTGTCGTAATAAGCGAATATAATTTTATACTACTGTAAACACCTGATCTTCAAAGTACATATAAAGTAGCTCGTTCCCTCTAACTCATCGGACTAAAAGATGATTTAAAAGGTCGCCAAGCAACGTAGCAAGGATGAGTGGTTTTAATTCTTAAATTTTCATCCGCCCTTCCTGCGAACGATACATGGCCGGGGGCAGGTAGGAAGTTGCCAGCGCTAAATTAACTTGTGGATAATTAAAAATTTACAGCCAATGAAAACGCAGTTCGAGGCGCGAAGGTTTTCTCCGGCAACTTTGTGGGGTAACACACGACACGAAGACCCGCTTGAGACACGAGAAGACGGATTAGAGAGTCTAAGCGGTCGTAAAGCCACGGATCGTACGAGTTTCTCGAAGTTTTATAAAAGTTTCGTTGGAAAATAATAAGGTTGAAATTAAAGCTATTATCGGGGCTGTTAACCAGGGTGAGCCCAGGTCTCTATTGCGAAACTTTGAACGACCCCTTTTTTTATCGGCTGTTCGCGGAGCAAGTCCGTCAAGTGCGATAAAAATACATATTACAATGAACTTTTATCCGACGGATGAGTTAAATATTTTTTAATTAACGGGTTCGTTAATTCGACCTTCGTTCCCTTGACGAAACTTCCGAGCTCCGATCGGAGATATCGGGTGAAATATAAAATCCTCGTCCCTTTAGTTTCGCCTGGAATTTCACCTGGAATTTATACCGAAGTCTGGCAACACGATTCCACGCTTCGTCGCATCCGGCTGCCTCTCCTCCGACTTATCTCCGTCCCCCTGTCTCATGCCTTATCTCCTTCCATCCCTGGCAAATCTCCGGTTCAATACGTGGAACCGAATTCTTTCATTACTTCGCCGGTTCGCTCGATCTCGCGGTCTCTTCTCGCCGCGCAATACGAACCCTCAGACGATCAAACGCTCCCTGAACCCACATAATCACTATTCATTTTTTTCGAATCAATCTTCTCCCTCTAAATTTTTATTCCATCCAGACACAATTTTCAATCGCAAATATTGAAACAGACCAAGAGAAATTCGAAACATCAAATACTTTCTATATTTTAACCCCTTCGCGTGCTTTGACAAGTCTCACTCGTGCACTCACAGCTCAAATGTAATAAGCCTTACTCAAATTTTGAATACTCTTCAACTTGCAGTTTAGATCCAACTATAATTTGCGTTGTCAAGGATCCCTGAATATAAAAGACTTAGAACATTTTCATTTTTTTTGTTCGTTTTAATGTTATAGTCCTGCACCTCATAAATAAATGGCACGGGAAGGGGTTAATAAAATTATTGTCAGAAATGTTATGTCGTATTCTAATTTTTCGGAAGGGTCAGTCTTTTCAAAGATCAAGTACAACCTCAAAAATTATATTCCTTTACTTTCTGTTTTATCTGAAAGTAACAAAATGTGGAAGCAGTTCAACATCCGAAAAAAAATTCTTAAGAAACTTGTTCTACTTCTTCAGTATATACGCAAATATGCATAAGACGTAAAAAAGGAGTGTATCGAGTACACCGAAAAATTACGAGGTGTACATTAATTTGTAAAAAAATATCATTATGTAGAGCGTGGAAGGAAGATGAGCAAAGGACAGTGACGAAGGAAGGAAAAGGAAAAAGTGGAGGAGCGTCGAAATAGAAAAAAGGAAAAGAAAAGAGTGCTTAACGAGGGCGATGCATAATGGAGAAAGGAGAAATCCACTGGCTGGCGTGCCGTGAAATAAATACATACCATTTGTCTTAGTCAGGAGGGTGGAAAACGGGGCGGACGATGCTCGGCGAGTGAAAGAAACGCGTCGCTGGTTGCGGGAGAGATGGCTAAAAGTGTTGCTGCAACTTGAAATTCCCGCGCAAAAACAACGAACGAAGACGCTGGACGACCTCTCTCTGGACGAATATTTCACCGACATGTTTAAAACTGTGGAACGGGAATGCCTCTTCCACGTGACATAATCCATTACGTTAAACGAGCCTGTCAGTCGACCGTCTTAAGTGCACGTACATACCTACGTCCATTTTCGTCTTAGTGTCACGTATACGACGTTCGTTGAGAACCATCGAACGACATTTCTCACCCGGCTGTGAATGTCCCGAACACTGACGTCTTCGTTTACTATCCCCCTACCGGTGTAGCGTTGTTACGGACGGGAAAACAATTCTCCAAAACGTTCTGGGAAAATGAGATAGAAAGAAAACAGCGAGTTACGATGAGCGATCAAACCGTGATAGCGTGTTCCGAATAAGATTGGATCTTCGTTCCGTTCTGTAATTCTTGCGATTTTTTACAAACTTATTAACTTCCGCAACGGTGAAATTGTTCAAATTTGTGTGTGAAGATCGCAACTTTGCGATTCTTTAAAGTTCGAAACTTCGGTGCTCGAGAATTTTTTATTTTTGGAACCCTTGTTTGGAACTTTTGTAATTTTGAAACGCTTTGAAAGTTTAGATCTTTGCGGAATTTTGGAACCTGATAATGTCACTATATTTGTGAAGTTTCTCACTCATGTAAAGGTTATGATAACCTCAAAGTTCTATAAATAACGAAGATGTCGCTTAAGAAGCACATGCAATTTTAAACTCTATTTTCTGTCCCGCCGATATCAATTAGAATCTAAAATTCCTTGAACCGAAGACAATAAAATTACATCCGTAGACAATAAAAATTTAAACTCTTCCTTGCAGAGCCCCTCATGAATTCTTGCATCGAAAGTATGCTTTTTGTATCACAATTACAGGTAAAACACGTTCCAAAGCTTCCGTAACAAGAATTGAATTGACTACCCTTAAGAACATCGTTAAACTAACATATATTCTGTCCTACTTGACCTGGGCCCATTAAAATTCTCGATATTATTTGTGGCGGTTTAAACAGGAATAATTCCGCGATCGATGAATCGAACGTTGAAAAAAAGGGGGCCATCCAGTTTTACACTTGGTCCGATAATTATTTCCAGCGTTTGTAATGAAGACAAAAGGTTCCATTTTATTTGGCAGACGTCGATGCCGTGCACGCGAGTATTGACCGATGTGTCCTCGAACGAGGGAACGGGAAAAAAGGCAGACGTCCGTTTATCTTTCTGTTCGACTGTATTTCTCAGTCGAGGCGTTGTGCCGTGGAAATTTTTAAACGTCGAAAAAAACTTGGAATTTCGCCGGTTCTAGGGGAGGAAAAACGCTTCGCCGTGATTAATAACTTTCGCTTTCGTGCCGTCGATAAGTCACGACGAAAAGGCTCTTTGTCCCCTTTTGTTCGTCGAAGACGTAGCCTCTTCTAGTTCGAACAATCGTTCTTTTAAATAATTCATGCGTTCGATCGGGCTGGCAGATTTGAAAAAAAATAAAGGATCCCGAAATCTCTCGTTCGATGGCTGTCGCTTTGTGCGATTCGAAATAATTGGAGGCGGACTAATCCTCTCGCGTAAAAAAGGGAAAGAATCAAAGCGGCGAACTTTTGTAACGATGGCGAGCCAACATTGGAAAGGGGGAAACAGATGTATGCTCGTAACGTAGAACGTTCTCATCCGCTGCGTTCTCGTATTTTTTTTTTGTCCGCTTTTTTTCAATTTATTCGGTCGACGAAAGCAGAACGGTTTATGGAAACGCACATATGGCGGGGAAAAGAATTAGAGTGGGAGAAGCTGTCGGTTTTGGACTGCAGCCAAATGATTCCGTGAGGTACTCGTGGAAATTGCGAAATATTTTGTAAAATGCATCACGTATTTTCTCGTGCACGGTTTCGTGCGTCGGGTTAATATACCGGGTTTCGGCTGTCGATGACTCGTTTTCAAAGGTACCGGTCATGAAGACAAATCGTGTCAGGATTTCGCGCGACGTCCTCGCGAAATACCCGGCCAGTTTCGATACTGGCAGGCTTCCATTTTATTTATACCGATTTAACGCGTTTACACGACCGGCAATCACGTCACGGTAAATAATGCCTTCCTGTCGAATTACCGGCTCGCAAATCGCGTCGCTTGCATTGCCCGCTCTGTTTCGTATTAACGAGTTCGTCATGTTTGATCGAGACTAATTATCTGAAAATAAAAGAACTCGAGCGCTGTTCAAAGTCTCGTTTTTACAGATATTTGTCCTGTCAAATGTTCTTCGATTCTTTCTAGGGTCGTTGAACCTGAATGAGATAATTACGTAATAAGCCTTATACGACAGGATATATCTTGTAATGATTACACTTCGTGCTTTCAAAGATGAAGTGTTTGATCAGGATGCCTCTTATGATAATCGAGAAGAATATATGAATGTATTATAAGGATAGCAATGATTGATTTATACTACTGAAACTGTCTGACCATCAAAGTGTATAAAGATGAATCAAAGTCATTCAGATGTTCAAGTTGTAAATGCAGTTATTACATTTCATGGTGATTGAAGAAACAAATGTATGTAATGCGCAATGGCGACTTTATGATTGATTTATACTACTGCGCTTTCTGCCTCACTGTGCTTAAGATTCATGGACAAATCGAGACTACTGTTCTTTACGATGATAAATATCCGAAAGAAATATATTTTAATGATACATATTGACAACTGTGCGATTGACTTATACAAATGTCCAATAATTAAGGTATGACTCCAAATAAACGATCATCTTTTGGACATCTGTGTTAGAAATATTCTTTACAACAATGAACGACAAATCCTGATGTCTGTTAATAATAAAAATTACCATGTGATCGACCTATACTACTGAAAATGACAAAAATATCGACGTATCTGAATTATGAATTCAGAATATTCTTGTAGAGGATCAATAAGTACCGATTCTTGGGAATTCACAACGATGCTCACATAATTGACTCTACTGCAAATGTCTGTTAATTGCAAGGCATTCACTGCTCTTGCAAAAGCACCAATGAATTATGTATCCAGAAGTATACTATTCATAAAAGCCTTGAATAAGTAAAAACCCGTCCCTGATTAATGTACGACCATTTATTATTGACTTGTACTACTAGGAACCACATCTCTGCAAATCTCAGTCTTTGATTAAGATACATGGGTTGCAAAATTTACTATTTTCTGTGGTGTTCAACAAGAATAAGAAATTTTGTAGAACATCATGAATTTCTTTACTGTCTGATAATAGTGTATCGCATTACATTGTACATCATAATGTGGTGGCTGTTACAACCACCAGATCACTGAGCTCTCCGTGACAAGAGGATGCAATCGAATGAAGTTTAGTTCCAAATTTATCGAATGAAATTTCTTCCCTCCTCCAAGTAAAGTAATTTCTAAAAAGGAGAAAGCCTTAGCTGCAGAAGAACGAAACGGTGAAGGTACCAGAATGGTCCCAGGTAAGAAGAGAAGGTGGAAGATATCGAAGTTTTGGGTAACCATCGAATGAAAGACAACGTCGAGTGTAGCGTACGATAATAGTAGATCGGGGCGTGGCATCCGGCAATACGTGGCATCCTGATTTACGCCGTTGAGCAAACAGCCGCGTAGCTCCGTGCCTCGGTTATTGTCGGCTCTATAATTTGGGGTTAATTCACTAGGCGGCACTCGAGTTCAGGCGTCAAACCGCAGATCGATAGTTCTGCCCGCGTACAGGCCTTGTCATGTAAATGTTGCGTGCATAATACCCCGCCTTGCGGCGACCCAGGATCATTTCCACGGAACGTCCGGGCTGTTCCTTGTGTGCGTACCGCACACCCGCCCGGACCAGGTGTACCATTTCGAAATTCGCCCGCAAGCTAACTCGTCCAACGTTACGAATTCGCACACCGCCTGACACGTTTCATTCACCTTTGACCTCTCGGTTCCGATCAAATGTCGTTACTGGAAAAATCGAACTTTGTACTCTTGCCGAAATTAAAAATACTCCAAACACTCTTATTTGTACGTCCAAGTACTCTCAGGATTTAAAGATACGTAAAGCGTTACGATACGAAGGGGTCGATTTAAAGATACGTAAAGCGTTTAACATGGGAAAACGGACACGATGCAAATCCGTGCAAACGATCTGCATGCGTTTACCTGGCCGCGTGTCCACGCGCCATTGAATTATTTCGAAATCTCGATAGGGACCGAATTCATGCGAGATCGATTTTACTTGGCGCAATTGAAACACGCCGGCCCAGCGTAATGTTGCTAGAAACGTCATTTAATCCCGAGACCAATACGAACGTGTTACTCTCGCCGGAGGGGATTCGAATTCGAGCTGAAATTCCGATCGCAAAATAATACAAATACGTATAAATTTGTGATGTCTAGCGTTTAAATAATCTCGTCAAAATTTGGTCAGCTAAATACCGATTGTCTATCGCCTTTATTACCGGGATTATCACACTGCATCCCTCCGCTGTTCAACACCACTATTTTCACAAAAATATGTATAAGGACCATCAGTGTCCTTTGAGATCAATTAGGGAGACACTTAAATCTCCGTCTTTCTCCAATCTAAATCTACAAAATTTTTCATAATTTTAATTATAAAAATGGTATCGGTTTTTCGCAAAAATACAAAAATATGTGTAACGACCATCAGTGTCCTTTGAGATCAATTAGGGAGACACTTAAATCTCCGTCTTTCTCCAATCTAAATCTACAAAATTTTTCATAATTTTAATTATAAAAATGGTATCGGTTTTTCGCAAAAATACAAAAATATGTGTAACGACCATCAGTGTCCTTTGAGATCAATTAGGGAGACACTTAAATCTCCGTCTTTCTCCAATCTAAATCTACAAAATTTTTCATAATTTTAATTATAAAAATGGTATCGGTTTTTCGCAAAAATACAAAAAATTCGCCCGCAAGCTAACTCGTCCAACGTTACGAATTCGCACACCGCCTGACACGTTTCATTCACCTTTGACCTCTCGGTTCCGATCAAATGTCGTTACTGGAAAAATCGAACTTTGTACTCTTGCCGAAATTAAAAATACTCCAAACACTCTTATTTGTACGTCCAAGTACTCTCAGGATTTAAAGATACGTAAAGCGTTACGATACGAAGGGGTCGATTTAAAGATACGTAAAGCGTTTAACATGGGAAAACGGACACGATGCAAATCCGTGCAAACGATCTGCATGCGTTTACCTGGCCGCGTGTCCACGCGCCATTGAATTATTTCGAAATCTCGATAGGGACCGAATTCATGCGAGATCGATTTTACTTGGCGCAATTGAAACACGCCGGCCCAGCGTAATGTTGCTAGAAACGTCATTTAATCCCGAGACCAATACGAACGTGTTACTCTCGCCGGAGGGGATTCGAATTCGAGCTGAAATTCCGATCGCAAAATAATACAAATACGTATAAATTTGTGATGTCTAGCGTTTAAATAATCTCGTCAAAATTTGGTCAGCTAAATACCGATTGTCTATCGCCTTTATTACCGGGATTATCACACTGCATCCCTCCGCTGTTCAACACCACTATTTTCACAAAAATATGTATAAGGACCATCAGTGTCCTTTGAGATCAATTAGGGAGACACTTAAATCTCCGTCTTTCTCCAATCTAAATCTACAAAATTTTTCATAATTTTAATTATAAAAATGGTATCGGTTTTTCGCAAAAATACAAAAATATGTGTAACGACCATCAGTGTCCTTTGAGATCAATTATGAAGATCAATCTCCGTCTTTCTCCAATCTAAAGCTACAAAATTTTTCATAATTTTAAATATAAAAAATTTTTGTTTGTCATGATGGTTTAAGCTTAATGTGTTCTTCAGACGCGGCGCCGCAGCTTGTGTACAAATTCATCGAACAGACGATCCAGCCAGGACCCTCGGTGTCGTTGAAGTGCATAGCCACAGGAAATCCGACTCCGCACTTCTCGTGGACCCTGGACGGATTTCCTCTTCCTCAGAACGACAGGTACTCTGTTCGAGAACGCTAAGAATTGAACGAACAAAGTTTTTCACGATCAAAAATCGATGGATGGTGTGTACACAATTATTTTCGGTTATTAAACCGCTGGTATTACGATCGAGGGAAAATCAGAGCGGCTAGCCCGTTATAACGCAACTCCCGTGGGAACTGATACCTCCCTGCGGGCTTCGATTCTCTGAACCAATTGAGGGGAAAATTACCAATCAACCGAGCTCAGTCTAAACTTTTTAGAGTCGCTCGATTTAGAATGATAGATTCGACGGGACTGTATGCACTCTATTAATAATTCAATCACGTTTTCTATTTCTCTTTTTCCGTAAACAGAATTGTATTAGAATTTTTTTTAGACAGTTAACTGATTGTTTAAAGTTTATTTTCCATTAACACTAAACCGGCGTATAATTTGAGATGAAAAATGAAGTCAAATAAATAAACAAATGACACAACATAAATTAATATACACATTAATTCTTTATCTTGGTGAAGATAAATATCAGAAAAATTACTTCAACAAATTGTGTAATTTATAATAAGGATTTTGTGGAACGCTCATTTGACCAGTTTGGTAGTTTTTGTGTTAAGTTGTATCTTTAGGTATTTCTTCGATGCACATATTTTCTAAGAAAATATGTGCCTCAAAGAAAGGAGATTTCATAACAAGTTAAACAAGTTTGAATCATTGTACAGCGATACCGAAGTTAAAACACCTTAACAGAATAACAACAGTAATTCCGATTTTGTATGTTCTTAAAGCCCGAGAAGTTACAGAAACATTTGTGCAGCTCTCGAAACAGATATTTTAACCTCCAATTACTTCAAATTGAGCAACTTAATTCGCCCAGTCAGAAACTCTTAAGTAATAACTTTACCGTCTCTTGTAAATCAGTTATGTCTTTCCTCGAACAATTTAAATAGCTTACGAACAAATTAATTACCAAAAAGTCCGCTCAGATATTTTCTGAAAAAGGATATAAAGGTAGAGTCTGTCCGCAGGTTTATGATAGGCCAATATGTAACCGTGCACGGTGACGTAATATCACACGTGAACATCAGCGTGGTGCACGTGGAGGATGGCGGCGATTATCAGTGTACAGCATCGAATCGGATGGCGAAGGTTCACCATTCGGCTCGTCTCAACATTTACGGTCTGCCTCATGTACGTCCGATGGGAAACTACGCTGCAGTAGCTGGAGAAACCACCGTGATCAAATGTCCGGTCGCTGGATTCCCGATCGCAAGCATCACGTGGGAGAAAGGTCAGGATTGTATGCTTCAAGGGCTTTAAAGACGATGGACTCGGGTTACATCGTACTGTAAGAATTAGGGGAATCACATATCATTAGATAGCTTAACATCCCTGTAATACGAATTGGTTGTATTTGCAAATTTCCAAGATCTCATATTATGTAATTTCTTAATTTTCAAAGTCTCTTTGTTCTAAATTTTCAGTCATAACTTTTTAAATTCTGATTGTATTCTTTTGCAAGGTCCTAAAATCTCAAAGTTCTGAACTGAATTCTCAAACTTTCAAATTCCCAAATTTGCAAATCCTAAATTCTCAAACCCCCACAAGCCCAAAATTTGCCAACTCTCAAAAACCATCCCACCATCCCCAAATTTAACCCCATCCCAAAAATCCCGGTTTGCTAACAATTAAATATTCCCAACAAGGACATCAACGATCTGGCCCACAAAAATCCCACTAATAAATCTATCCGATTTATGCAAATACCAGAAGAAAGAGTTCATAATACAGTAAGTCAGAATTGAAATATCCGGCAGGCGCGGCCCCGTAAATAAGTCAGCGTCCAGGTTCGCTCGTAAATCTTGCCGGCATGGAGACGAATGAAATTTCAGAGAAACTGAAAGTACCTCGGTGGGTTTTTCGAGCGGTTTAAATGAACTTTTTCGTAGCAGCATCGCTGTGGAAGAAAGAGGGAGGCAGAAAAGGGAACGGATTCGGGTGGCTTTATTCGAGTCGAACTCCAGCTTCTCGCCGCGTCGTCGAAACGGCGAAGTTCGAGCGTTTCTTTTCCGGTAATGATGAACCGAACTCGTGGAAAAGTTTCAAACGGTGCCCCCTAACTTTCTCCCTTTTACAAGCGATGTAGCGTGACGTTGAACGCGCAATACCCGAACGGTTACACTTTCAAAGTCGATCCGCGACTGTGAAAGCGGATTGCGAGTTTCCTGCAGGCGCGACACCGTGACACTGTACATTTTCATGGGAAATGCTCCGGGGAATGTGGATAGGAAACCTAGTCGATTAACGGAGATTCGTTTTTACCGCTGTTTTGCTTGCTGGATATTTTCAGGAATTTTCTGCTATTTATTTTTATAGGTTTGAAGGTTTGAGAGGTTGATGTTTTGGGGATTCGGAAAACTTGGAGATTTTGTGGACTAGGGGTTGGGGATTTAAGGATTTGAATCTTGGAAATTTGGGATTTTGGGGATTTGGAAATTTGGGGTTTGGGAATTTGGGAATTTGGGAATTTGGGAATTTGGGAATTTAGGAATTTAGGAATTTAGGAATTTGGGACCTTGGGAATTTGGGAATTTGGGCGCTTGGAAATTGGGAGTTGGGAATTTGGAGAAATTAGGAATTTGGGCGCGTGGAATTTGGGAGTTGAGAATTTGGCGAAATTAGGAATTTGAGCGCTTGGAAGTTGGAAGATGGGAATTTGGAAAAATTAGGAATTTGGGCGCGTGGAATTTGGGAGTTGAGAATTTGGCGAAATTAGGAATTTGAACGCTTGGAAGTTGGGAATTGGGAAATTTGGGAATTTGGGAATTTGGGAATTTGGGAATTTGGGAATTTGGGAATTTGGGAATTTGGGAATTTGGGAATTTGGGAATTTGGGAATTTGGGAATTTGGGAATTTGGGAATTTGGGAATTTGGGAATTTGGGAATTTGGGAATTTGGGAATTTGGGAATTTGGGAATTTGGGAATTTGGGAATTTGAGAGATTTGGGACTTTGAAAGTTTTGTCATTTGGAAATTTAGGAGTTTGCGAATTTGGGACTTCGAGAGTTTGGTCATTTGGGAATTTAGAAGTTTATGAATTTGGGAATTTGAGAGTTTGTTACTCAAAATTTCGAACTTTGGAAATTTCGGATTTTGGGACGTTAGCATCACAGTACTTTGGGATTTGAGAGATATCGGAATTTGGGCCTATGAGCCTATGGGACTTTGGGAATATGGGGATTCAGGACTTTGAGAGAATTGGGCAATTTGGGTCGATGGTATTACAGAATTTTGAGACTCGTAGTTCACTCACTTAGAAATCTGCATCCTGAGAAAGTTATCTCTATATAATAATAAACGCAAGACGTCTAGCTGCGGCGAGATCCCTTTCCTGACTTTTGTTTTAGTAGATGAGTAATTTAAAAGCAGAATCTTTTTAAACCTAATCGTCGTTGACTTCAGTCAACGAATAACTGGCCTACCAGTATAAAGAGAATAAGAAGAATTATTTACAATAGACGGTAAAATGCTACCAACAAGTCGCCGTCAGGAGGTGTTCGCCAACGGAACACTAAGGCTGCATCACGTCGACAGGAGCACGGATCAGGGTGCCTACACATGTACAGCGAAGAACAAGCAAGGTCGATCCGATTCACAGACCGTTCACATCGACGTGAAAGGTAGTCTATTCTCTTCTTCTTTTACTTTTTCTCTAACAAGTGTCTTCTTACATTCGAATAACATGTAACATTGGAATAACAAGTTTTAAAGTAATTTGTTTTATAAGAATTTTATATTTGTTTAAAAATATCTCTTGTGGAACGAAAGCAAAGTTTTGAACACCACTGTTCTTTGCCAGATTTTTTCCAGCGTACGGTTGTAAACGGTGGAATCGTAAAGGGATCGTTTTTCCCGCGCGAAATTGAATGGCTTCTCTGCGATGTTTGCAAACTGAAATTGCTGTTTATAACGTAAAAGAAATTCGATTCGGCTCGTTTTTCTACCGCAGCTTTTCTCTCGGTCTGCTTTTCGTTTGTAATTTAAATACACCTTGTTATTCCAACTGAGCGAGTTGAGTTAACCATCGACGTCGATTGGACGTTTAACCGATTCATTATTTATAACCAGCTGTGCATCGGTTTGATAAAGGTCGTCCACAAAGAACGTTCCTACAGGAAAACACTGATTACGACTATTATAAATAAATCTCTTAAAAATTATTACTGCAAAAAATATCTCTTTCAACTTGAAATAATCTCTTTCGTTCAAAGGAATTTATTTCGAAATTCAGAGACATTCTGCATGCTTCACTGAGTTCTATTTTTGTATTTTATGAAATGTTTCTGATTATATTAATCAGTTGAAAAGCAGAAATCTTATTTGATTTGGTTGATTGATTTTATATGAGCCTCTGCTACGATCATTGCTCAAAATCTTATTTAAGTATTCCTTCTTTTAAAACAAAATTAATATAACCAAATGTGACAAAGAATGAACGTTCTTTATGGATCCCCAAGACTATAAAATATTCGTCTAATAATTTTCAGGCTGGTTTTCACAGGCATTTATCGAAAGGGAAAGCTCCGGAAGACTGAGAGTACATAAAAATAAATACGCGTTCATAACTGACACTTCAACCGGAAAGAGTCAAGAGGATAACGTGACGCGGCAAAAAGAGTAATCGATTTAAGAGAACATAGGAGAGCGTTGAAAACGTAATTCGCGTCGAATCGCTGAAATCGAGCTATCCCCGAAAAACAAAACGAGGAAAGGGGGAAAAAAATTGAACGAGCAATGAAAACTTCGCGTTGAACGATGTAACGATCGATGCGTGCGCCTTTTGTCCGCTTTCAATTGTTCCGCGATCATTTCGAAGCGGCATTATCGATTCGTCGGCCGGAAAGGGAAAAAGTTTCTTTTGGTCCGTCGAGCAGTTCGAGACTCTCGGCCATGAAACGTGTACAGGGTGTTTCTAGTAACTGGGACGATCTGTATCTTTGGATCGAAAGAAAATTGCACAAACAAAAATTAAATAGCATTTCTAAGATGTCAATTTCACGATGTTTACAAGAAACACGTTTTCAATAGAACTGCATATATTTTTTTTACATCGATCAATTTTGATACATTTCGCACAAAAAAGAATTACAGCACTCTACCAAAAAATTCAATAGTCCTCAAGATATTTTAAATTCTGGATTTGTATGAAAATTTCAAATATTTCACTCACTAGCAATTTTTTAATGTACTCCGCGTTTTTATTCAGCATAGTCCGAAAAATTATATCAAAATAAAAATTTGATAAAAAAATATAGTGCATGTCCACAGACCTCTCTAAACTCGAAAACTTGAATATCTACATTAAACTCGAAAATTAGAATATCTACAAGTTGTGCAACTTCTAGATTTAGGGTTCGTAGCAGTTGCTAGAAGCAGCTATAGGAGATACGCGGGCCGTAATCAAGTAAAATGTCTCGTGATTCCTGTAATTTTCAGTACCGCCTAAAATCGATCCGTTTAGCTTTCCTGCCAATATACAAGAAGGCGCGAGGATACACGTTTCCTGCGTGGTCAGCGAGGGCGATTCACCGTTGAGGATCACCTGGTTGAAGGACGGCAAGCGATTGAATTCCACGGAGACGATCACCCATCATTTCGGCGAATACGATCTCACGTTGATGATACAGAGCGCAACCACGGCCCATAATGGCAACTATACGTGCGTTGCGAGCAACGATGCCGCCGAAACGTCTCGCACGGCGTCCCTGTTGGTCCACGGTACGACCACGGTTTTTACATCCCTCGGGGTTGCTTCGATTTCCTGACATTCGGTTCGATGCAAAATAAATAGGACAATAGGTTAATTAAATAGGACACCGTTGACGTGGACACTCAGTTACGTCAACGTAGGTCAGCTTCAATGATCTGGACGGGTTATGGATGCATAATTATGTTTTATATCGTACAGCGCTTAACATTATTGTCGCAGACATTTCTCTTTTGTAGTACAGTTCTTATAGTGTTTTGAAAATTAATATTTTAGGAGTTGACTCAGTATGATACCAGTATCCTCCATGTTGCTAATACACAGCTATCTGTCTGTTAATACATAGATACCTATCTGTCTGCTAATACATGTATAATAAATAAAAAGTTGACCTGCTTGCTTAAAAAATTGCAAGACTCAAGTAGGTTGTGAGTGAAACTCAAATTGAAAATGTTCAATGATAGGTTATGTTTGACATTCGACAGAGGTTATATTAGATCATGTGAATGAAGTACTAAATAAAATCAGTGAAAAATGAAATTGTTTGTGCACTTATTTAAAGAGCATCATTTAACATCTTTATCAATAGCTCCCTCACAGTTTGATCATTCTTAAGTAACTTCCTGTACATAAACATATGTGAACAGCATTTAACTTCAGTTATAAAAATACATAGATTTCCAAGAACAGTCTAACAAAACCGTCTCTCCTATAAAATTCTATGGTCATCTAGGTATGAATAATAAAATTAATCAAACTCGTCAAGATGATTGAAGTTGCCATGTCCCATAACTACCGCTCCTAAAAATCGACGATCACGATATTTTCTAATCACACTCACGATACAATATATGAATAGCGCGACAATTTGCACAATGGAAAATCAATCGGCTAATAAAAGGCGCAGGATGAAAGCGTTATACCGTGATCGTCGAAACGGCATCAGGAACGACCAGCACCCCTGAATGGAAAGTTCGCGCCTGACGTAGGCCAACGAACGCAGCCAAGCGTTTATCGTTTGTTCACCGGCAGAGTCGGAACTTTTCACCAACCACGGTAACCATTCACTATGCTCCAACACCCTCGCCAACCCTACTGAATCTTTTTTCTATTCCAGTACGGTTACCAATTTCAGCCACCAACGTCTTTTATTTGTACCCCCGAGTTTCGACGATTCGGTTAGAAAATTTTCATTCGGTCACCTAGTCTCTTCTATTCAAACAGCCAACGTATATCTACTGCCTCGGTGTATACGATTTCACGCTCTATTTTGCGTTTTTTCTGCCCGGTGGATTAAAGCTTCGTTCGGATTGCATTGACGCCCAAGCAAATTTCGAATTTCGAGTACTTTAGAGACAGAAATATAGCGTGCAAGGGTGGAGAGATGTAGGTGTACAGAGATATGAAAATACAAGTATACTGATACAAGTGTAGATAGGAGTTAATATAGTATTTAATGATAGGAGAATGGAGAGATAGAATTCAAGGATATAAACACCTAGGGGTACATTTCGAACTACCCTTATTCTATAAAATTCAAGACCCAGTTTTCAAATACACAGTATTCAAATATTCGAATATAGGAGACATCAGAATACTTGTCTGAGGGAATAACATAAATGTACTTAAGTGGATGAAAGGCAGAAGGGTGAAAGAAGAAGCGAACCAAAGTGGTTTGACATCGTCGATATTAATCGTCGACAGGACCTCTCGACCGGTTTCAACTGTCCTTGTAAAGCACGCGAGTGCAATCGTACGGTGTTCATCCTCGGGCGAGAATTCCGCCTGGCGGATCTCCCTTTTTTTTCCTCGATGCTCTTTCCATGCTCGTTTGCATACGCACACGAGCGAGCGAGACGTTTCTCTGAGAGCGGAGCCAACGTTTCCCCGTTTGTCGCGCGACGGGGCAGCCGGCATTAAAAACCACCCCCTTGTTCTAGAGACGAACAAATCAGTGCAAGCGGAACGAACGAAACTCTAGCCCGACGTACGAAACGAACGGCCTAAGGGTGATTTTAACGCGTTGTTCTGTGACGAGCGGCGAGCCGAAACAGCATCCTCGGTTACGCGCGTCCGGAATGTCTACACGCGCTTGTAACGACTGTCACCGTAAATCATCGTCTGATTTTTCTTCCCGGTGTGTCAACATATTCCCGCGTGTTCGCGCGATTTCGTAGGGAATATTGCAGAGGGGGATTCATTTTTGATTCGCGTCACAGACCTTCAAGCTTAAAATTATGCGGAAATTGAGAAGTTTCCGGGAAAAATAAATTGGAAAAAGACTTTATAAATTAAAGTAAACACATGAAGACTCAAAAATTAAAATGGGATTTAATCTGGGAACAAAGAAATTATTAATCTAAATACCTGACTTTTATACACCTCAATAATTTTTTCACTTTATCGAAATTTCCGCTTGAAAAAACCTAAAAAATTGTTGAAAAATCCTGAAATTCACCAGGTTCATTATTACTAAATTCTTTGTGTGTTCGAAACGTGACGGAGTGACACAGGTACATGTCTTTCGGTACAAACAACGTCATCCGTGTTTATCGTCAAACACGGTATGAATTCGTTTTTGTTTGTTCGTTTATCGAACTGTCTCGTTGCGCGTAACTCGGACGATATTCGTGTACACCCCCACACACAACCCCACACAGACTCGTAGACTACAGGCCGGTGGCACTCTTTGAGCATTACTCATGTAACGCCACGCTATCTGCTATGCTCGGTACGGTTTCTCAATTATTCTCAAACAACCGTGGCGTTCTGTTCTAATACCTCGGGGGCAGTGAATATCCTTCCTCTGCGCGGGTATCTCTCTCGCGAGGACGAGCTATTATTGTCGTCCTGCGCCACTACGTCCGGTTTTCATGAAACAAGTGCTTAAAACCTTTCTTCGTGTATTCGAAAAACTTTGTCAAAATCGATGAAAATGCGGAATATTTAAATGGATGCAATATCGTGAACCATTGGCGTAACTAGATAGGAATCTAATAAATGTACCTCCATGAGATATATAGTAATCTAGTATTTTTCGAATTTAGAAATTTTGAAGCACAATTTTCAAGCTCTTCAATTTGTAAATTTTTAGAAGTCAATGAAAAAATGAGTGAAGCTTCAAATAGTTTCAGTTACGCCACTGGTTTCGTGTCATAAATAAAACAGCGTGCTGTGATTTACAGTATCGAAGGCTGCATATTTAGATACATCCCACACAGAGTTTTATTTATTACATGAACTTCGCGAATAAATCTTGCAGCTTTTACAGACTTGATAGGTAGATCATAAGCCCGTATGCATTGTGTTGAATAAAAATTTGTGCTTGTAACGGTTATAGCGAGCGCGTTAAATCGTTCGATGGCAATATCTATAAAATGGCCGATCGGTTGGAACGATCCACCGTCCTTTTAATAACCTCAACTAACATAAATAGGTCCTTTATTTCATCATCGGTCCGCCATTCATTCGCGCGATAACCACGCCGAAGCACCCGTGACTTCGTCAATGTTAATACGATCCTATTCGTGTAATGGCATACGCGTAATGACGCGCACGGCAACAGAGTTGATAAGCACCGTCGATGTTATCGCATTACGTTATCCCGTCGTCCATTACGGCCGGCGTAATGCGTGGGCTACGTTGAACAGCGGATTCGCCCGGCTTTAATAAAGTTAATGGACTTAGAAAGGTGTAATCCCTCAAAGAACGACGGATTGTGCGGAGCCGAGAAGTCGCTTTAACGAATGACACGCGCCATATTCGTTCGCGCGACATTTTATCCCGCCAGGACTTTGTCCGTTCGCGTCGCGAGCTTCACAAATCGCTGTTAAAAGCCAGGCTTAATCACTATATTGTACCTTGGATTACCGGCCATGATGGTTAAAGTTCGCTCAAGTGCAGATATTTCAGCCGTATCCGAAAGATAATCTCAACTACCGGAACAACTAACACGAAGAGGGAGACAAGCCGAGAAGCCTGGGGACCCGTTATTTTAGAGGTCGAAGCTCCTCGAATTTGACTGCGAATACTTGTGGCAATATTGTCTGATCTAACACGGAGAACTCGCCTAACATCGAATGTCTCCCTCTTCTTTGTCTTTGTAAAGATATTTTTAACGCGACCAAATGCGCATCGATCGTTCAACGACAAGGCGTCTCAACGGGAAGCAACAACGTGGAAGACCGACACAGGAGACACATGGTCACCACACACGCTCATCGCTTGATCTTTTTTTGTTTTTTGTGCAGTTCCACCCACGATAGCTCCCTTTAGCTTTAACAAGGATCTCTCGGAGGGCGTGCGTGCCCAAGTAACTTGTATGGTCGAGAAGGGTGATCCTCCGTTCACGATCGCCTGGTCCAAGGACGGCGAGCCGATCGCCGGGCCCGGTTCAACAGGCTTCGGGAACACCGGGATAACCGGTCCCAGACACATTCAGCCACCCGCGGGCCTACGCGTAACCAACATTGACGCCCATTCCAGTACCATAGTTATCGAACGCGTCAACGCCGCTCACACCGGCAACTATACTTGCATGGCGCGCAATTCGGTGGCCGAGGTCCTATGGACGGCAGAATTGATCGTTCGTGGTAAAGTAGAACGTCATTGCCGAGCTTCAAAGTTGAACGAATGCTCGTCAACGGACTCGTTCACCGACGCTCTTCTTCTTCAATGCCGTTCACCGTCACACCTTACTTTTCGTTTTATTGCACCTCGCAGCGCACCTCTTTGTCTATGACATCACTCTCGCAGTTTTGAGAATTCATTTTCACGATTCCTCTTTGTCATTTTGGAAATTTCTGGCATTCTTACGATTCTATCATTTTGAACATTCTGAAAATTCACCTTTGACAATTTTATTTATATGATGGAGTAAATGGTAGTAGTAGCACTGTAGTACAGTTCATTTTACAATACACGTTTAATACACAAAGATCTCATTTTTATTCGACATCTCGAATTTGATATCTCGATGTAAGATAATATTTGTTGAAAACATGTCACGAATTCTCAAAACTCTAAGAGTGACCCTCTTGTCGAAGTTTTTCAACGCACTGAGTGGTTCGTTGCAAATGATATAATTAGTATCCGAGATTATCTCGATGCATTTCCGCGTGATTAATATCAAGGTTCTCAGCGTACCAGCCAGTGCATATTTAAATTCTATATGGTTATCGTTATCACTGTTATTGTGTAATCACTTGTAAACGCAGCCGTGCAGCAGCAGCCATCGCAGCCGCGAATTATTCGAAACAGCATGCGTGTCAGCTAGGGCTGCGGATTCGCGAAATATTTTGCACTTCACACGAAAGAGATTAGTTCACTGTTACGTAACGATCACCTCTTTTATCTTTCTTTTTTTATCTTATCGCGTCTACGCCTGGGATATAGCGTGGTCGTAAGAATTTCGTTGAAATTTGCACCGTGTGAGATCTAATAAAGTGTGAGGTCGTAAAACTTCTATTATACCAATAATTAATTTTTTACAAAATTTCGTGTATTGAATTTACGAGCACACTATATCGGCCAGCTGGAGTATATCGCAAGAAGATAGGAATGAGTGAGGAATTGAAATAATATCAATTTCACGATCGGAGGTTCGTTTCGCGTACGAACGACTGGAAATCGAACGTACGCGAATCGAACCGAAAAAACGCAGCTCTAGATTCGGTATCAGAAACGATCCGAACGAAATGCAGCAGCAGCCGCCCAGCCAGCAAAGCGACGCACCAACGCACTTGAGCACCGCACAATATGATAGCGTTATCACTACTATCACGGTTATCGTACTATAGTTGTGTATTTCACAGGCGCACCATCTATGAAATTGCACCTCTCCCGATCTTCGAGTTCGACCATGTACCGCGATCCTATTCGTATCCAAAAAGGATAAAGTGTCGGTAAGATGCAGAAAGGAATGATATTGTGCAACACATGTTGGCAAATTCGATACAAAAATAGCGATCGTGGTACTCTCGAAGGAACGGGATTATGCATGAAGGACATTAGCGTAACTAGGGAACCTGGTTCTCATTTCTCGATTACTGTTACAACTTTTTCATTTTCTCTACATTTACACATTTGAAATTCTCTTACCCTAATACTCTCAAATTACCACGTCTTTAAATTTCTATATCTTTCGTCCCTAAATTCGCACATTCGTAGACTCTCAAATCCCCAAATACGGCTCCAAATTTCCATACCCTCAAATACCTTCATCTCCAAATTTCCATATCTTTAAGATTGCTAAATTCTCACATCCTAAAGTCCCGCATTCCCGAAATCTTACACCCTCAAACCTCCACATCCGTCATATAATCCATACCCTTTTTGACAGAATATAGAATACGTATTCTTGCGAGGCCCCTGTAGGATGTGTAATATTTCAGAAAATGAGAATTGGTCTATCTAAAAAAAAATCCTAGTTACGCCAATGATAAAAATGCACATTGCGAAATTCGGCTTCGGCGTAGCACCTCTAAATCTTGAGTACCAGCAGCAGCCTCGAAGTTCAAATTTGGACCAAGTCTATGAGCACACGCATATATGCACACACACGTTCTGTTCGGTTTTCTAATTGCGTTTGTTTCGTTCAGTCTGTCCCTTTTCGTTCGATTATTTCGTTTGATCGTTTATGGAATACTTGGCACACACCACCTCTCCCTGGAAATTGCAGAACCGTATCACTTTAGTCGACGATTATGTATAAACTGCACTTTGCTCGGCGTCACGTGGCAAATAATTAAACGCATCGAACAGTTTGATTGTCACGCACAATTTTCACCCACGAATTATTCGCCACGTGGGTTAATTCAAGCACCGAAAATAATTGACCGGCACAAATATTTAATTAAGTCACAAAAGGCCTTCCTCTACGTGTATGTACGCAAATGCACAATCACCGCATTGTTCCTTGAGTCAAAATGTCCGCACAGCACTGATTTCTGCATTGTTCTAGTTCACTGTGGTTGTCCACGATGTTCACCGTTATTTTAGACCACTTCTGTCACGGACCACGAGGAAAATTGTCGAGTATCGCACCGTTCGTTCTCTCTCTTTCGTTACCTTTTCTCTGAATTCCGAAGTCGCTACCTATTCTCGCATCCTGATCTGTTCCTGTCTTGCCTTTCGCACGATCGATGAGGGTGACGGTAGAGAACAATCGATACAAGAACGTACCTTCGCGCAATTTTTCTCTACCCTTCTTTTCGCTCGTCGATCGCTCGTGCACCCCTTAAATTACGTCTTTTGTTTCACTTTGCGCTGAAGTAGGAAGTTGCAGTAGGCCAATTCGAGAAGTTCGCTCTTGCCTCGGCGCAATAAGCTTAGACGCGAACTCGGTGGCATTTCAAATGTTCCTCCCTCAAAACACCCCTTCTTCGACCGCTCTCCTTGTCCGCGTTATTAGAATTTTTCTGCGGAATAAGTCTTAGTATATATTTTCATCTGGATCTTCACATATTTTATATTCAGGAGTCATCCTATCAAATGTTAAAATAAAAATAATTTATATATACATTATTATGTGCAAAATAGTTTATATGTACATTATTATGTACAAAATAATTTACAATATACACTGACAACATAGAAGCTTCATTCAAGTCAAGAATTTAATTTTTTGTCAATCCCTAATTTTCAGAATCGAAATAATCATCCTTACTTTGCAAAATTGCTATTATCTCACAAACGACAGCTCTCACGAAAAATGTTCATAGACCCTTTTTTGTACAAAATTCCTCAAGCTACAAATTCGGTAATAACTATTTTTGTCCTAGAACTAACAATAAAAGAGATTTACATGACTTTATTCTAACTTCAGTCGTGACTTTATCACTTGTTACGAATTCCGCAGATTTGTCTACTTCAGACACATTTTCCAATACCGTTTCTTCCACCGAATTCGGAATTTTGCAAACTAACAAGCTCGGCCACGATAATTGCTGGTAAAAGAGAGAGGAGAAGTCCGAAGCAGGGATCCATTAAAAGTCGGCGAGATTTGCAAGTAAAATGTGAGGAGGTTGAGGAACAATGAAATTTCAGATGCCACCGTGCTCGTTGCGTTAAAGTCGCGAACTTCAGTCTGACTAACGACCGGTGTTGTACGAAATAGTGCCACCCCGTTGGGTGATGGAGCCCCAAGATGTCCGCGCTTCGGAAGGAATGTCGCGGCTGGTGCTTCATTGCCACGCGGACGGATTTCCGCCCCCGGCTGTGTCGTGGCGACGAGCTAGTGGCAAGAAGCCCGGCAATTATCACGACATTGTCATGCACGAGCACACGCAAGATCTCAGGATACACTCGAACGGATCATTGGTGTTTGGCAGAGTGCAGGAGGACCATGAAGGCTTCTACTTATGCGAGGCGGTCAATGGAATCGGCGCTGGACTCAGCAAAGTTGTGCATCTGACGGTGAACGGTAATAATCCCCTTTTTTAATTAATTTCACAGAGGAGAAATAAAGTAAATAAGACTTTACAGAGTAAATGAGTTTACAAAGAGGTACAAAAATAAATAAGAACAGATATATTTTCCTGTTCACCCTAAAAATTAAAGGACACCCTGCGGGTGTGAAAGCTTATCGCATCGTTGCCGGATTAAAATTAATTTACGACCACCCCATATTGCTTTTAACGATCATACTCGATTGCACAGTGCCAGCCCACTTCGTGGAGAAACATCGCAACCAAACAGCACGACTCGGCTCAAGCGCATCGCTGCGTTGCGAGGCCAAAGGCGATCATCCCTTAAAAATATTGTGGAAAAAGGCGGGTTCTCATTTGGAGCAGAAGTTGTCCGATTACCGGTACATGCTGAAGGAGGAAAACACCACCGACGGAAGTATCAGCACGCTTGAATTTATTAGCACCAGCCGAGAGGACAGCGGAAGGTATTTCTGCACGGCGTCGAACGCTTATGGCCGCGACGAGATGACGATACACCTGTACATACAAGGTAAGCGAACGAGTGCAAGTTTCCCGTGAAACGTACATATAAAGCAATCACAAGGATCTCACCTTGACAACGAATTATTTACGACATCCTCGCTAGAAGCATGCTGTTACGACTCGAATAAATCAGACACGCAACGCTGAAGAATCGAGGAAACCGTGAATCATTTTGATTGTAAATTGACGTGTATCGGTTTCTGATTTATTGGGTTAGTTTTAGATGAAATCAACAAGTGAGTTGTAACGCTATTTTCTTTGGAGAATGAAGACACTAGTTGCATGTTATAAACTTCTGATATTTTCGTGGGACAAATTTTCAAGTTAGCTCTAAAATTTTCGAATCAAGCTTTTAAATATCTGAGTTCTCAAATTTCTATACGTAGTTTCTACGTTCTTAAGTTTCTATATCTCCTCATTTTTATGTAGAGTTGTAGAATTCCGAAATTTCTGTTTCCAAATTGCCAAACTCTCAGGTGTTCAAATTTCCTAATTTTCAAACCCCCTACACTTCCAAGCTTCTTATCCGAACTTCTCGAGCTTGCAAATTTTCTACTTTCCCAAACTCCTAAATCCCCAATTCCTACATTCCCAAATTCCCAAATATCCAAACCTTAAAATGCCACAGTATGCTATCCTATCAGTAAAACCCTAACCAAAAATCCGAGTTACCAACCTAACCAAACCTGCAAAACCCATTCCTCAAAAGCGTAGAAAGAGGTTATAAATTCTATAATGGCGCCGCGTCTAATCCCATATAATGGCGATCGAACGCTTACTACGAAACAATTTCGATAATGTTTCCAAGAACACTCTTGGTATTTGCGTACATAACGTTGACGCGGTGCGCGTAATTATCGTAATGTGTACCGGCGCCTGGCGACTCGTCCATTTAATTTAATGCGTTTTCGCGCAAGTACCGTCTGTGTACCAACGACAGACGAGATAACCACACGGCGGCTTAGCCAGACCGCAAAATGAAATACGTTTCGGTCGAACGCTTGCGTAATGACACTGAGACAGACATTTCATCGACGATATGGCTAACGAAAGCTATTTTGTTGCCGGAAACTGTGCAGAGCCGCCGGATTTCCCGCGAAATCTTCACGTGATCGGAAAAGGGAGCCGCTACATCAACATCAGCTGGACCACCAGCCAGGACGGGAATAGCCCGATAACGCAGTACATCATCGAATACAAAACTGACACTGGCAAGTATAAGCTTTTAAACTCTACTTTTGATGTTTGATGCTATACTGTTTTTTTAACAATTTGGTACTTTACGGATTTTAATGGTGATTAAAATTCTTTAAGATTATGACGATTGTGATATTTTTTTTGTATTTTGGAATGATTTATCTGTTCATCAAGGTTCACTGTGGTTGATGTGTTTCTTAAATGATAAAGGGTATTTTTTAACCAGGAGAAATTATATGAACCACTTTATTATATGAACGTTATATGAACCACTTTGATGCAGTTCATTGTATATCATATTAACCATGTTTCGCTACCTTTCTACACCTAATACAATTTCGCATACAAAATGTAATTTACCGTATAACTTCGTATAGCCTTCGCAAGTCCAACCATGTATTGTTCATTTAAAATTTATTATATATTCAAACTTGGTCATTAATTATGAAGACATGATTTAAAGTACCTTCAACACAGTCAGATCAATTAGCTTCAAATACATGAATTTAAAAAATGTATTCACTTAAAATTTCAAGTAATATCAGACATCTGCAGAGGTTAAATTTACTAAACCTTCAGATAATGTACATTAAAATTTTTTAAAATTTGAAGTCCAAAACCCCATTTTTCCCATGACCAGTATCGATTTCATTCTATAGCGTAACCGGAGGATCCTTTCTTTGGAAGCACGTTGCTTCGTAGATTCAACAGGTACTTGGAGCCTGTTTCTTCCCACTGATCCAGGCGATTTATGTTGCAGAAGTATGGCACGATCACACATTTCACACGACAGTGCCCGGCACTCAGGCACACGCGCACGTGAGCGGCTTGCGGCCAGCGGTTTCTTACCAATTCCGAATTTATGCCGAGAACGAATTGGGCCGTAGTCAAGCGAGCGACGTAAGTATCGAAAAACTAGACCAAACATTTTCACGACCGACTGACTGATATTCAATAGTCGCTTTATAAAGCTCCGTTTCAAAGCTTTCGAACGATGCGATGCGTCAAATCGCAATTTTCTTGCTCGTTGAATCGCCTTCACGATTTCATGCGGACTGGGTTTCTGTTACATTTTGCTGTGTAATGTGGAAATAGTTTAAAATACTCTTAAGTTGCGGCTTCTGTCAAGCTTTGCTAGATTGAAAATTTCCTGTGTTTCTTATTTCGTAGGAATATTTTTAAAATATGAGGAAACTATGCAATCTTCTAGATTGGTTTACTATTGTATCTTCCTGATAAAATTTTCAGGGAACAATTTTGAACACAAGTAGCTCTCGCAATCTGATAAAAATATCTTCACCGAAGCCAAATGACTACAGCTTATTTGCATAAAATGAATAATTGAATGCTACTATTTCTGAAATGGGTTCCAATAAAATATTCGACGAAAGTTAAAGACAAATGTAGACATTACAATTTATGGACAGTCAAAAAATAACTCTTCTACAGACTATTTATTTTGAAAAATCGCTTAAAAGATTTATTTAAACAAAGTTACTTAAATCCAGAATAGAGTTGTCATTTTATTTCGAGTGAAATGTGGTCAAGCAACCCCCCTAGAGTATTTTATGCCGTTCACGTTTCACGAAACACAAAAGAAGGAACAGGGTGGATAAACGTGAAAATTTAATCTGGCGTCGTATCATGGGATTCGTTCCTTTTCCAGATTTTGGAAACGACGACGGAAGGGGAGAAACCGGGAGGACCGCCGAGAAATCTCAAGGTGGATCCTGTCAGCTCGACCGAGTTTAACGTCACCTGGGATCCACCTGATCATGATTTATGGAACGGGGAGATACTCGGTTATCACGTCGGCTACAAAGAACATCGGTAACGATCCAACGGAACGGCACGCTTTAACGACGTTCCATCGATATCTCCGAATAACGTTCCCCGTATCACGATCGCATTTCAAATTGCAGCTGTGTGCGAGTTTCTCGAATAACGCTGATATTCTATATTTTATCGAGTCGCGGTAAATAACCGACGCTGCCGCGGTTTCGTTGCTGAAACAGCTAAATATTATATTTTTCCGGAAATCGTTGTATACACCACCGTTTATCCATTACCTGAAATTAGTTCACGTTCTTATAATTAATTGAATAAAAAATTTGTCAGGTCTAATTAAAACTGCTATTCGTAGATAAAAAATTATCCGAGTGTAGTGATTTTTAATAGAAACATCTGGTGATTTGGGGTCAACGTTGATTGACGATATCGAAATATTTTAACATGATCCCTTGTGAAGTAACGATTGAATGTACAGATTGACCGCGGATCAGTACACGTATAGAACGGTGGAGAGGCGAATTTCGACGGCGAGCGTCGCCCTGGGTCTAGCTAGAACATCGATGCCCGGGAGGCAATACCAACTGACGAACTTGAAGAAGTTTACAAGGTACAGTGTGGTGGTGCAAGCGTTCAACGCTCTCGGTCAAGGTCCCATGACGCCGCAAGTGGTCGCGACCACCCTCGAGGACGGTAAGTAAAGCGCCAGTTCTTTAATCAACTTTCGTCGTTTTCCATAAAACATGGAAATGCATAAAAGGCAAACGGTTGAATCGGTCGGCAGAGATTCAGCAAACACGTTTTAGCGACGTTAAAAAATTCATAAACAGAATAATACTCGTGACCGGCGAGCCTATCACGGTATTCCGCCATGAATACCAACCCGCTGTATATCCGGCCGAGTTTCGAATAAATAATAAATTCAGAAGCCGGCGAGCCGACAGGCTGGAACTGATCTGCTTGCAAATAAGTTCTTTAATCCTGGCATCGCGTCCCGGTTAAACTCCGAAGTGCTCTCTGCGGCTGCAACTTCCGCCAGCCTCGTTCCTTACGGACATCTTGTGGTTCATAACACAAATAAACCGGCTGCACGTTCAACCTGTTCGCAATTTGAATCTCGACTGGCTTTTAAAACAGTCTCGAAATACTTCTCGGGATTCCGGTTAAAGCATTTCACTGCTACTCATCCTCCAAAATTCGATTAAAACTTTAAAGTAAAACTTTCATCTTTGTAGCTCTACGCGTTTGCTAATTAATAAAACACGAATTTTATATAGCATTGATGTGTGCGATGATCTCGAAATACCCTTGATGTTCTTTGTTATCATTTATTTTACTGTGACAACTCAAAGAAATATTGTAGAAATGCTAACAGTATACAGAAATACTAATACTTAGGTAATATGATTTAAATGTGACATTATTTGTAAGATCCATATACTTAACCCCGTTCCGTGCTTTGACGAGTCTGTCTCGTGACGCACTTCTCAAATGTGACAAACCTTACTCAAATTTTGAATACTCTTTAACTTGAAATTTAGGTGCAGCCATAAGTTGCATTATCAAGGATCCCTGAATATAAAATACGCACATTTTAATTTTCTTTGTTCGGTTTAATGTTATAGCCCTGATTAGTTAGTCTTGACAGACGCATCTGATAAATAAATGACACGGGAAGGGGTTAAAATAATACGTATTCACGTGCACCACGAAATGACATGTATAAACATCCTAAGTCAATGTAGCAGTAAATCAGATAAGAGACCATAATTGATTCCCGCCATCGTTGAAATGTCCTCAGTGCCGAGCAGTCCACCTCAGGACATACGGTGTACGGCGCTGTCCTCGCAATCACTGCAGGTCTCCTGGGAGGCGCCTCCCGAGTCCAGTCTGAACGGTATCCTGAAAGGGTACAAGGTCATATGGGAGAACATGGACGCGCTGACCGAGTCCCCGAAGTCGGAAATGAAGATCACCAGCGTGATCGTGATTCGCGACCTCGAGAAGTACACGAATTACTCCGTGCAAGTGTTGGCGTCTACCCGGGCTGGAGACGGTGTACCGTCCGCACCTTTGTATTGCGTCACCAAGGAGGACCTGCCCGAGGTGCCAGCCGGTGTAAAAGCTGTCGTCAAGTCCGCGACATCGATTATCGTCTCCTGGCAGCCACCGGTCAAAAGCAACGGGAACATCACGTCGTACAACGTTCATTTCCGATGGATCGGCCCGGAGGGAAAATGGAATACCAAGAAGCTTCCGCCGTATCAGACCAGCTACCCGGTGGAGAATCTTCACAAGAAGAATCAGTACGAGTTTAATATCGCGGCGGTGACCTTGGTGGGAGAGGGGCCTAAAACTCAGCCCATCATCATTTCACCTTCCAGCGAGGGTGAGTTTTAATTTTTATAAACGACGGTGACGTATATTGTGATATGTTAAATAACTCTTGGAAAGTTTTAACCATTGCTGATTGCTTATTAAAGAGTTCTAATCAGGAGGACCTTGATATGTCAACGTCAAATTGCCTTATTGAAAACATATGTCAGTAATTCTGACTCTTCGTGGGTTTATTAATATAGAGTCTTATAATCTTGATATAAAGTGTTATTGATAAAGTAGGTTTAGACGCATCTGATAAATAAATGACACGGGAAGGGGTTAAAATAATACGTATTCACGTGCACCACGAAATGACATGTATAAACATCCTAAGTCAATGTAGCAGTAAATCAGATAAGAGACCATAATTGATTCCCGCCATCGTTGAAATGTCCTCAGTGCCGAGCAGTCCACCTCAGGACATACGGTGTACGGCGCTGTCCTCGCAATCACTGCAGGTCTCCTGGGAGGCGCCTCCCGAGTCCAGTCTGAACGGTATCCTGAAAGGGTACAAGGTCATATGGGAGAACATGGACGCGCTGACCGAGTCCCCGAAGTCGGAAATGAAGATCACCAGCGTGATCGTGATTCGCGACCTCGAGAAGTACACGAATTACTCCGTGCAAGTGTTGGCGTCTACCCGGGCTGGAGACGGTGTACCGTCCGCACCTTTGTATTGCGTCACCAAGGAGGACCTGCCCGAGGTGCCAGCCGGTGTAAAAGCTGTCGTCAAGTCCGCGACATCGATTATCGTCTCCTGGCAGCCACCGGTCAAAAGCAACGGGAACATCACGTCGTACAACGTTCATTTCCGATGGATCGGCCCGGAGGGAAAATGGAATACCAAGAAGCTTCCGCCGTATCAGACCAGCTACCCGGTGGAGAATCTTCACAAGAAGAATCAGTACGAGTTTAATATCGCGGCGGTGACCTTGGTGGGAGAGGGGCCTAAAACTCAGCCCATCATCATTTCACCTTCCAGCGAGGGTGAGTTTTAATTTTTATAAACGACGGTGACGTATATTGTGATATGTTAAATAACTCTTGGAAAGTTTTAACCATTGCTGATTGCTTATTAAAGAGTTCTAATCAGGAGGACCTTGATATGTCAACGTCAAATTGCCTTATTGAAAACATATGTCAGTAATTCTGACTCTTCGTGGGTTTATTAATATAGAGTCTTATAATCTTGATATAAAGTGTTATTGATAAAGTAGGTTTGAAGGTAATAAACAATTGTGGTTGTAAGAATATCTTGTCCATGATTGCTTATTAATACCACTCGCTTTGTCCACCGATCCTCTCAAAGCTTAATACGGAATTCGGGCTAAGCTTCTCTCTGTTGCAAGAGTAACGATGTTAACGATAGGATGGGGTCGTTACAGTTCGAGCGGCGATATATTCGTTCGGCACCGTGCTAGTCGTCCCATGGAAACAGAATGTGACATTACCTTGTCAAAGCGTTGGCAATCCGGAGCCGTCTGTGACGTGGAAACAATGGAGCCAGATAGTGAAACCATCTAGCAGGGTGTCCTTGTTACCGGAAGGTTCGCTGCAGATCACGGACCTCCACAGGGAGGACAGCGGAAATTATACTTGTTACGTGAAAAACCGGCATGGGTACGATCAGATCACTCATCGGTTAACTGTGCAAGGTATGTTTCATGTGGTATTTTTTTAGATTCTACGCTTCTTACTTTCATAGTCCCTATATTCTCAAATTCCTCAAGTTTGCTAAACTTTCAGACCTTGATCACCTATTCTGAACTTAACAATATTAAAAATTGATGCTACAGAATTTAACAAAGTACCAATCTAACATTTCGAACCAAGCAAAATGTTAACACGAAAATAACTTTGCAGTTCCACCAGCAGCCCCGTTTCTCCACGCAACCGGCGCGTCCACGAATTCGATAAACGTGCAGTGGAAAAATGGCGACGATGGCGGCGCTCCAATCAGGGGTTACATTCTGCACTACAAAAGGGAGTCCGGCGAATGGGAGGAGGTAAAAGTGTCCCACAAAATCAACAGTTTCGTCCTGTCACGGTTATGGTGCGGCAACGATTATCAAATGTATCTGACGGCGTACAATCGGATCGGTATGGGTTCCCCTAGCGAGATCGTGAAAGCGACAACGAAGGGTTCCAAGCCGGAAGATTCGCCCAGCAACGGAGATAAATTCGTGACGGTGAACGTATCGTGGATCACTCTTCATCTGAGCGCGTGGAACGATGGCGGATGTCCTATCACGTATTTCGAGTTGGAGTACAGGAAAAATGGAGAGGACATTTGGACGTTGGTGTCGAATAACATCGAGGTACTAAACCTGACAAGTTATCGTTTGATTATAAGAAAGATGCTTTAAGCTTTAAGATCTTTAAGCTATTTTTAAGAGCGAGAGATTAGGTTTATGTGTTTATACAAAATCTTAAAGAAATCATGTAAAAATTTGTAAAGTACCGCTTTCTTAGCAGAACTTTTTGCCACTTTCTTTTTAAAAATGGCGAATTTTCTTCTTTAATGCACAGAAGTGTCCCTAAAGCCTAAAAGAATGTCAAGTTCCTCGAACGTCAAAAATCGCCTAAAAATAGTCGCGAATTATTCGATAGCTACTCGAGATCGACCTCGAGTCGATCCTCTCGCTTTTTACAGTAATAGCTTGAGCATTCGTTGTTCAGGTACAAAAGACATACACGCTGAGCGAGCTCCAACCCGGAACGACCTACGACATCCGAATAAGGGCGCACAATAACGCGGGTTTCTCGGTCGCCGAGTACAGAATAACGACTCTGCAACCTCACACCAGCACCACGATACCAGCCGTCGAGATCGATCACTATATTCCTCAGCACACGTCCGTCTACTCGGATTTGAAGCTGATCATCCCGCTGATACTAAGCTCGTTGGCGTTCATCGCTGCGGCGGGTGCTGTGTTTTACTGTTTCCGGAAACGTTAGTACCACCGAATATGCAGTGTTGCTTCCAAAGACCTTCCTCAAAATTAATCTGTGTTTAACTGCCTACATCAACTTTAAAATGTGTCACAAGGTTTAAAATGTGACTCTTTCATGTGGCGTTAAAAAGTTTCATTTAAGAAGCTGTAGGTTACTTATCGAAAATGTAAATACAATATAGAAGCTGATCATCGTGTTGGAATAATCGTGGAATATTTTCATATGAAATTCTTGTTATCGATAATAAATGTGGACCAAACTAAAAACCAAACCAAACTAGCTTTGGAGGCAACACTGTTGGAGTAGTGTCCCCTGCGTGCCGGTAACGTTTGATGACGATGACCGTAGGTCCGTTTATAGGGGAAATGGCGAGTTTGCACGACGCTCAAACAGCAGCGGCCTTAGACAATAAGCAGAACATGGAACAACGCGAGCAGTATTACGCAACGGTGCGCAAACCGCTCCGCTCGCCGATCCACGAGATGGCTACCTTGGAAAAGATTCCAGGTAAACGGGGAAGGGGAGTTACGAGACCGATTCGTTTGATTTGTCGATTTGCATTGTCCGGAACAAGAGAAAAAAATCGCTCGTTATTTCTGCGGTTAATTGATGCCGTTTTAAACAAAACAATTTTTTGTTCCTCGCGATTAGACAACCTTGACGTTCCATTTCAGTTACAATTTTTTTACGAAGTAGAAATAAAATATGCTTTCAGCGTGTTTACAACGGAAACGTTAGCATACCATGTAATTAGTTTTTTGTTAACGTTGAAATACACCAGAGAAAATTTGTTACAATTGTTGCAGAATACTCGGAGGAAATTTATCCGTACGCGACGTTCCAGCTGGAGGAAAGTGTCCCACCAGGAGGCGATAGCCGATGTAATTCCGCGGCACCTCTTCAGACGTTCGTCTATCATGATCCTCGTTTGTCCACCGCCGACACTCTTCAATTACGAGAGGTATCGTCTGCCGTTCAGTTTGCTTTTGTCATTTCACCATCGCTTTCCACCATTCGTCTTTCGTGGCTATTCGCATCGAGCCAATGGGAAAACACACTTGCGCACACAGCATGCATCCTCCTACGACCTACTCGAATTATTCCTGATAAAAGTTTGTACGTTGCAACGTGCAAATTCCGTGCTTCGATCGAACATTTTCGGTTCTCCAAAATTTTATCTTCTTTTCATTTGTTTCGGGGTGGAGTCGAATTTTCTTGAATTTCAAGATGTACGAACTTTTATCTATTTTGTATAAGTCATATGAAGCTTTATTTACTGAGTCTTGTACGTTCGGGTGCAACGTAGGCTTCCTTTGAAGGTAGATTATTATTTATAAGGTGGTCAATTATTATTTGTGACTTTAAGAGATCAAATGTGAACTCCAAGATCTTTGAACTTTTGAAGACCAAATTTCGAAATTTTCTTATCTTCGGAAATCCTCAACTTCGAGTTTCCTAACTTGGAAATCCACAAATGCACAAACCTCTCTCTCTGAATCTCTACATCTCAAAACTTACAAAGTACCAAATACAAGATCACTAAATTTCCAAGTTAGCAAATCTCTGAATGCACAAATCCCAAAAGCTCGAATCCCACGTCTTTCCACACCACACCCCTAAATCCCTAACACCCTTACCCCCTAATTTCCTAATTTAAAGTCCCTATGTACCTACATTATTCCCTAAATCGCTAAATGTCTAGATCCCCTAAATCTTAAATTCCCAACTGTAAAAATTCCGCTTCAGCATGTACCAGTTTCTGCTCCAAGCGCACAATCCTGATCGCATATCGTGCACATCCGCCTGCACGTCGAGACTATAATAGAAAATGTCTGGCACGAACTCTCTGTTTGTATAAGAATTTTTTTGCCGCCGATAAAATAAGACGTTCGGTAAATCGGTAACAATCGACGCGAGTGGCGTTCGACTCGAGTTTCGCGACGAATCGAGTAGAAACGCGCGGAACGAGTAGAACAGATGTGCATCATTATAGAGAATCGATCATTGTGACTGCTGGTCCCACCTTGCTTCGTTTCGCATCTGTCCTGATCAAGTCCATCGAGGAACCGCAACACCGATGCAAACGATACTTCTTTACATTGTATATTCGCCATTCTACACATCTCTCGCTCTCTTGTCATAGCTCGATTAGCTGTAGAATAAGAAATGTCGAATCTCTGGTAAAATTCGTTGACGAGACGGTAGTGTCCGTGACCGTGTAGATCAGTCGATCTTGCTTTACGAGTAATTTTACGAGTAGAATTTTTCTGAAAAGGGCTGTAAAGATATTTGAAAAGTTGCTTTCATACGAGGGTTAATTAAATACAAACGAGACTGCTCGAGATCTTTGATTGGTATAATGATATAGCTAGATTGTTACAATGATTTATGGTGTTATTCTGAGTGATGCAGTGACTCAATTATTTCGTGAGAAAATGATACATGAAGACGATGTAAATGGGCTTTAGAATTGAAGAGTCAAGAGTTCGGTGGGAATTTAGATTGCATATTTAATTGAATATTCAAGAATATGAAAATCACTTACACCCATATCCTCAGAGTTATAAGGCGACTCCAGAAGCTTGCCTTATGTGCAAAATAAATCGGTAATTGTCTCGTTTCCATTTGATCGACCCTCGTAACGAAGCAACCCCCATGGTGGTGCACGCCACCATTAGGCAATTACCTCGAAAGTTGAATTAAAATAAGAAAGTCGGTGTAGCGCGTCTCCTCGTATCCTCGTGCGATGTGCCAATTCATCGAACCAATTCCGTCTGATTGCAGTCGGATTGCAACCGGTACACTAAGGTGCGCGGAGGCCGTTCGTCCTCTGCGCCGTTGCACAAAACGCACAAGGTCAGTCAGGGCAAGTCCGAGTCGGAGGAATACGACACCCTGGGCTCGGATAGCGACACGGAAGTCGGGACCAGCAGCCGAACCGAGTCTTCCAATCACCTCGTCGATTCGCACCACTCGGTGTCTGCGGCCGACTCGCGTGTCCACAGTATGCAATCTTTCATCCTTCTCTATTCGGTCTTCTACGTTTTGAGTCCCCGTCGCCGACGCTCCTCCTGCTCGAATCACCTTCCACAACCAAGTAGAACTAAGGTGAACAGAGACACGAAGAGGAGCGTCGCGAGACGTTCCACGCACCGCAATTTGTATCACCGGACATCCGTTTACCCCTTTTGCCTGTCTACGTTCGTTAGAGTGCACCGATCGAGTATTTCACGCTTGTCTGTTAAACATATATTTGTTTAACGAGTTTCGCGACGTTCACTCGAGGGAAATCGACCTCTTTCTGTTCACAGACTTCCTGTACCATGGACCAGAATCTAGCACGTCTACAGAACCCTCACCGATTTTTGAGAGAAAATCGTTTCCTGGAAGGGGAAGACCCAAGTAAGGCCTCCGCATTCTCATATTTTATTTCGGATTTTTTAACTTGTCAGGTGTTAATTCATTTTTAGTCAGATAAACATTAGTATACATTTCGTATAGTCCTCAAAATTTACGAGTGTCGTTTGAAATACATAAGGTGTTCCAAAGGATGGTGTTCCAAAAGAGGTCCACATAAGTGTTCAAGATTAAACATACAATACTTTATTGCAAGTTGATAATATTCATAATCAGCAAATGAGGGATATATGAGCACACATGATAAATCATATACCCAGAAAGACCTCAAAAGAGGACCCAAACAAGGGTCAATACATTAATAATTATTGACATCAATTATTGACTACATGACATTGAAAAATCTGAAGACTTATGTTTATGATAAAGTTAAGAAAGAAGATGGAATTGATGAGCGTGTGCTTAGGATGTTACAGTTGGCGCGTCATACCAGCGAGGAGACCCGTTCCAACTTCGGCCCAATCTCCGGGTTTGGCAATTCCAAGCACCAGTCGAGCACTTCCTGTTCCAATCGGGACCAGGAGCGTGATGGATCAGGGAACTTGTTCATCCCCAAGTTGGACCCACCCACGGGCTTCTCCGACGCGTTTGAGCTAAGCGAGGCGGAATGCGACCTAGATCGCGGCCACAGCAGCCAACGAAACGTCCGTGACTTCGTAATCGCGGTGTAAATAAAGAAAACATAGGTTCTACGATGAATATCCACGATCCTGCGAAACGAAATCCCCACTTTAACTGTCTCGATGTAAAGAACGAAGAAAAAGAACCGTGGTCCGTCTTTCGTTAATTAAATTGGCCACTGAGAGCGCGTTAAGTCAGAGGCCAATTGAGTATCTGTTCCCTGCTCGTGTTCCTGGCCTACGTCTATGGGAGAACGTCGATCGTATCCTATTAGAACGAACGATGTACTGAACTCGACCATGTGTTCTTCAAACTGCCATTTCGTTCGAACCTACCGACCAGGTCGCAAGTTCGTTTTTTCGTACTTTTCGTTAGGTCTCGAACGAATATACTCCTAACGCGAACGGGATCTGATCGATGTCCTTGAACGCTTTTGGAGAACTTATCGATCGAATTTATCTGACTGCCATTTTCGTTCCGATAGAAATAATCCTAACAGGAGACACTTTATTCGTCCTACTTTTACGATCGGGCCATTTCGCGCGATTACATCGAACAATGTTTTTACGCGATTAACAATTCTGCGTCCGTTTTCAAGACTGCGACGAAAATTGTACCTTACTTGACTGTGAGCAAGGGTTGTAAGAGGAATACTATTATTTGTTAGTAATGGTCATTTTTCGAATTGTCCTGTTGTTCAGGGCTGAATTAAAATAAAGACATCTAGGGCATCTAGACAAGTTCCAAAAGTCCTAAGTTCTCGAAGTTCCAAGGTTTCTAAGTTCCGCAAACTTCGGAGTTTCAAGGTTAAAAAATTTTAGTCTCAAAATTTAACATTATGAACGTGTCGAGATCTTGAAGTCCTATAATGAACTCCTGAAATTTGAAAGCTTCGTTGCTTGAAAAATTTGAAAGTGCCAAAAGTCCCAAATTCTACAAGCCGCAAGTTTCCAAGTTGTCAAATACTCAATGTTATCAAATCTGAAATTCCTAAAACCCCTAAGCGACAAAATGTCAAAGTCCCAAAATCCTAAAGTCTTAGAGTCTCAAAGTCCCAGCGTCCCAAACTTCCAATAAAAAATATAATTTTATTATAAGTTGAATGAGGTGTAGCTAATTGAAAGTTTCGAGTGTTTGGATCCCTGAATTCGGCCCTGTGAAGGCTCCGTTAGCACGAAAGATGACGGTAAACGATTTTAATTGAGTATCGAGTACATATCCCAGCGAGCAATACGCGATTTGTTACGAGTTTACTTGGTCTTCCAATTTCGTAGATCGTTTTTATGTACTAATTTGACCGTCGTCGTTTGCCACCGCGAAGCCGCGGTTGAACGCGAACAAAGTTTGTTGTACATGTATAAATAACAAGAACGAGAACAAAGAAACTAATGTTAGGTCGAGAAGAAACATGATGTTCGTCGTTGTCCATCGGTGTCGTTTCAATTACACGAGACTGAAACGTTTAGTAGACACGTGTAGCGTAAACTTAAACGTTGAAAAGAAGAAAAAAACTAAAATAAAATAAAGTAAACTATTGTCTGTAAGATGTCTGTACTTACCATGCTACTAACTGTACGTATTGTACCTAAATACAAACGCGCGAAATACGGTAACGGATGAAGAATAAAAACGTTTAAACGACGTTTTTCCGTCGCGTTTAGATCGCGCGATTAACGATCGACGGACCGTGTGTGATAGTCTGCTGAAAAAAGAACAGGCAACAACAGCGAAATAAAATTAAAGGAAACCGGAGAAAATACTAATGAATTTATTCGACTGTCGTTAAGGAAAAAAAAACGCACCCACCGAGTATGTAACATGTGTTGTCATCGAATCGGTTCTACTGTTTCACAACCATAATCGATCGTTCACTCGGCAACTTGACGATGATTTTTGAGTCTGAGCGCTCTCTCGTTATTGTCGGAACCCCCGGGGCATGCACGCGGGCTTACTGCCCGGGGGCTACGAATGAAGAGATATCGATCTGTTGACAAATCGTATACTTTATAATATATGAGAATGATTTACCACGAAATTCGTACTATTGTGTTTTAGACGACTTTAGATTGTTTATATTCTATTTACTTTGTAAAATATACAACACTAATTCCATAACGGGACTATTTGTCTTCACTTTACTTATCTTTTCCCTCTTACTCTTCCTTCTGTTACTTTCTCGATTATATACTTTTTATTTGTTACATTTACGTTTGTATTTCTTCTGAGTCACTGACTACATAATTTAGGTATACATACATACATGTACTTCTTAGTCAGGCATGCATAATGCTGAGGTGTCCATCTTGATGTCTTCATTTTGGTTCTGAAGAATAGTGAGTCACGAAGTTTCATATTAACTTGTGCAACAAGTATACGTGTCATATACTTCTTGACTAAATTTCAATAAAGCGAGGACAAAGAATCGCAGCTCGAAGGAATCGTACCAAAAGTTTCACTCTTCAGGTGCGTCATCCTGCAGCTTCATGACGCACACCTCTTTCCGCATTTCCTAAATTTCCCAAAATTATTTAATATCGTAAAACATCAAAGACTTGTTTTATTTCAGGGGAAATAGAGTTAGCTTACGAAACGATAAAGAGTGAAAAAAATAAAAGAAGTTCAAAGATCGCCTATTTCGGTCGAAATTTCGTGATCCTTTAATTTCAGTTGGGTATAGGTTTCTTTTGATCTTTTTCTTTAATTACGACGTCCGTGCCACGTAATAAATCCTCGCAGACGAATGTTCCGCTTGAATCGCTAAAGAGCATTCCGCGAGCTCGACGATCGATCGGTTCGTCCTCTCCCGATCGTCGATTCGAGTATGCAAAAAGGAGCAAGGGTGGCTCGCAGAATCCTCGATATACGAGCACACGAAGGATGGGAGGGGTATGTATGGACCCCTTGGTTGAGGTCGAAACCAGGGTTGCTGGGCATGCGCCGACATTCCGTTCCTCTCAGATACTATGAGCGGTGGTGTCTACGGCGGAGGTATGCGATACGCGGTCTCCATTTTATCGCGAAATAAAAACGAAGAAAAAATCGTGGACAGACGGTGAATCTCGTTAAACGTTTGATCTTGTTCGTAGACGAGGTTGGTGCTATAATTTTCGACGTTGGACACCAGAGCCTACGCGTTGGTTATGGCGGTGAGGACACGCCGAAAGCTGAAATACCGACCAACCTTGGTGTATGGGAGGACACCATTGAAACGCCCGACGGGAATCAGACCGTCAAGAAGCACTACAACATCGATGTCACGGCCATTCAAGTGCGGAAGAAGGGTACGATGATTTTCATCTATAATCCTATCAGCAGAAATGCGATTATTCTTTGTTCTCCACTTCCACCTCTTGCTTCGACGTTTGATTTAATTAAAAATGTGGGACGTGGAATACGGAGTAGATAATTTCTTTCGTGAACTAGATTGTAAGTATCTTTTCTGGTGGTATACGTTTACATAAATTATAGAATCATAATACTTTTATATGTCCATATGGACACAAACTTAAACCAACTTAAAATCATGATATAAAGCAAATTTCTTTCTGTGTGACAGTTCAAAATTTTTAATAATTTGTTCTAAAATAGTAGACCGACAGAAGGCAATGCATTGCGTTCGAGAAGGTTAAAAGACACAAAAAGAAATGTGTTAATGTACTTCAATTTACAAATAAATGTGCAACGTTAAAAAAGATTCTCCTTCGTCAAAAAACGTGTCAAAATGTCTGGAACGTAATTTGTTTTATTAACCTCTTTTATAAAGTGGTTTTTTGCATTCGCTATAAAAAGCTGGAATGTTACTAATGCAACGAACAAATTTGTCCGACTGCCTTTTGAGTCTCGCCACGTGTTCACGATTTCCATCTAACGAATAGAACAAACCGAATTCTTTCGAGAAACGACACGTTTTGAGTCACACTTGACTGTTACTGTTTGAGTCACAAACACTTTGATTTCTGCACAAAGTGTTATCATTGTAAATTGTACGTGATTAGAATTCAAACTTGAATTTTCCACGTTTGCGTTCTAACACGTTGAGGATATTTGCTTTAGATTATGGTTGCAGTGAATGAGTTTTTTGACAAATAACATGTTCTGAGAATTGCATATAGTGTGTCAATATTTTGGTTCTGTCAATAAAGCAATTTGCAAAGTATTATGTTTTCAAATTTTTCAGGTGTTTAGGTGCTACATTTTTGTACTTGTGAATTAGTAGGTTTTTAAGTTTACAAATTCACAACATTCCACATTTTTTTGGTACTGAAATTTTAGAGCTTGAAATCAGCAAAGCAGATCCACATTTTCAGTACTCCAAATCGTCGAATTTCTCAAATACCCGAATTCCTAAGTTACTGAAACCTCAAATCCCTTTTCCATATTTCAGATTTCCAAGTCACTGAAATCTCAAACCCCTAATTTCTCAAATTTCTAATAATCAAATTACCACGACCCTAAATCCCTGAATGTCCAAATCTCCAGATCTCATCCTCCAAATTCCCAAATCCTCAAGTTCCCAACTTCTTAACATTCTAAATCTTCAAATCCCAAATTCCCAGATGCTCCCTACAAATCCCTAACTTCCTAAATTCCCCATTTCCCAAATTCCCAAATCCCAAATCTCCAAACCTAGAGCAGTACATCCATTTACCTCAAACTATCTCCCGCAAGCTCCCAAACCCCAACTTCCAAAATGCAACCTAACCAACCTATAAACTCGCATTTCCAGATATGGAGATAGTTAGCCTAATGAAAGACGGCATGATCGACGACTGGGACATGTTCGAGCGCCTAACGGAGTACACCTACAAACAGCGTCTGCACGCTCTTCCGGAGCACCACCCTACCCTAATGACCGAGTGCCCATGGAACACCAGGTTGAAACGAGAAAAACTACTAGAACTCATGTTCGAGAAATTCAACGTTCCAGCCATGTACATCTGCAAGAACGCCGTTCTAGCAGCGTACGCAAACGGCAGATCAACCGCGATGGTCGTGGACAGTGGTGCAACGCATACGAGCGCTGTTCCGGTGCACGACGGTTACGTGATCACTCAGGGAATCGTGAAGAGTCCTTTGGGCGGTGACTTCATCACGATGCAATGCCGGCAATTCTTCGAGGAGAAGGAGATCGAACTGACGCCCGCGTGCATGGTCGCGAGCAAAGGCAAATCAGCTCTTCTCTACTTAAACGCTGCTCGCCCGTTCGGCAAACAAAGGATAAAGAATCGCGAGTTAGTCAGTATTGATGCAAATATTGACTTCAATTGACGCCGGCCGTGTTACGGGTCAGGGGGTATTGTCACGCTCTGAAAAGGGAATGTTTAGCGCATCAGGGAACGCGATGGCTATTAAGACACAAAAGGGAGCAGTTAATCTTTTCAGCGTGCATTTTGACCCGATCAACGCGCGCTGTGTGCAGAGCACTTGACTCTTAATACGTTGATTGCGTTCGGCGTTCACGACTTTGCCGCACGCGCTCTACATTTGCTCTTCACTCACCGAGTCGATCACTTTGTTGCCACGTTTTGGCAAGTTACGCTCGAATTTTTGGCGAGATCGGCTATTTTTTAGAGAATTCACTGTTAGGCTTATGTAGGACACTTAGCTCGTATTAGTGAATTTAGTAAATCATCTGACAAATTATTATATTGAGAATAATTATTATATTGCTCTCATAGATATAGCTACCCTGATTTAACTGAGACATACTTCATTAAGACATGAGATATTAAGACATACTTCTTATACATTTCATAGATAATTATCGAATGAAAAATTCAATGTCTTCTGAAGAACACGTATTCAATTTTCAACTTGGTGTTCAACACCTAAGTATAATAGTCATCAGCAAAATGTCTAACAATAAGTGTGACCTGTTTTGGGACACTAAGATTTAAATTTATATCCTTCATGTTTCGAATGGGCGAACTATCTTGAGTAACACATTACCTGATCAATAATTTATTATTAATTACACCCCTTCCAGATGTGGTCCGTGAAAGAGACCCACCCCGATGGACCAGAAGACCCGGTCCACAGCCCACCTCCTCCTGGTTAAGCTACATGGTCCGTGAGCTCTTGCAAGACTTCCAAATGAATTGTCTCCAAGTATCGGACAGCCCTTACGACGAAGATATAGCCAACACATTGCCGATGAAACACTACGAGTTTCCAACGGGGTACAACGACGATTTCGGGTCGGTGAGACTGATGATTCCCGAAGCCTTGTTTGACCCTAGTAACGTGAAGGGTGTCGGTGCCAGCATTCTGGGCGTTGGACCTCTGGTCACTACGAGTGTGGGCATGTGTGATATGGACATCAGACCTGTAAGTGTTCTATTTCTGTCGAGGTAATCATTGGAAAGACTGAAATCTGTGTTGATTTAGAGTTTGTACGGGAGCGTCGTGGTCACTGGGGGCAATTCTTGCCTGCAAGGCTTCAGCGAAAGACTGAATAGAGATTTAGCGAGCAAAACACCTCCGGTAAGAAAATATTCTGTTTAAAGTTTGAAAGATGCATGAGCTGAATTCAGCAGACTTTTCTGTTAAGTCAGTTTATAGCAAACATTATGTGGCACCTTTTCTTTCATAACAAAAATTTTATTTTGCAACTCAGTATATCGTACTGAAAGTACAGACAGTTTTGAAATGATGTATTTAACAGTATTTCTAAAATAAGTTTGTAAAAATTATATCTACTTTCAGCGTTCCACATGTAATTTCATAAGTTATGTCACTTAAAGTGTTCCTTCACTTCAAAAGTGATATAATTTAATTATTAATTGGATGCCGTTTTGTAGAGTATGAGACTGAAAATAATCAGCGCAAACAGTTCAAGCGAGCGTCGCTATGGTGCTTGGATCGGAGGATCCATCCTCAGCTCCCTTGGATCCTTCCAACAGATGTGGTTGTCCCGACAGGAGTACGAAGAATCTGGAAAACTGATATTAGAACGATGCGCGTGATCACTGCGAGCCAAGAATCAAAAATTATTCTTTGTAATTGTGCTTTTACACATCGTCCAACTCTATGTGCCATTTATAGGATGACAGGGGACGTTGATCTTTAAGGTTAGGGCTTGAATGTTTGACACTTCTTCGGATTATGATGATTGTAAATATCAATTTGGTGGTGGTAAATATTTCATCTGTGTAACATTGCAAGGTTACACAAAAATTATGAAGTCTCAGTGTCTCGGGATTTCTAAGTCCAAAGAATGTGAAAATGGTAAAACTTCAGGTTTGCGGAGATATAATATTTGAAAGTTTTAATGTTTCAATGTCTCAATGGTCAAAATACTGAAGTCTCAAAGATAAAAAATTGTAAAATCCCAAAATATCCAGAGTCCCAAGTGTCCCAATGTCTCAATGTCTCAAAGATCAAAGTACCGAAATCTCAAAGATCAGAAATTGTAAAGTCCCAAAATGTCCAAAGTCCATTGTCTCAATGTCTCAATGTCTCAATGTCTCAAAGAATCGTGATTCTAAAGAGCCTAATCAAAATGTCCCAGTGTGTCAAGGCCTTAATATCTTAGCACCTTAATGTCTGAATGTCTCGATGTTTCAATGTCTCCTCAAAATCCAACAACTCCACAATGCCCACAAGTTTCAGAGTTCAAAAAGTTCATAAATCCGAAGAAGTGTTATGAACGAACGGCCAACACGAGACAATACGAGTGACTGATATCAAACGATTTTGTGTAACGTTTAGGTTTAAACGGAATTGAACGAGTCTTCGATTGCGTGTTATTATTCTGAAAGTAAATTCGTGGAAGATGTTCGTATCTGCGCGAGGTGATAATCAAAACGGCGTTTTCATGCGAAACGATGAATGTACCATGATGTGCGCTTCGAGAAATACAGTTCCTAGCTACTCGAATATCGCTTCCATGTAATCCGCTGAGCCAGCTTCGGTATCGGGTGAAAAAATGCGGGAGAAAGAAAACAATCGATTTGAAAAAGGATTTTGCGTTTATTTCGAACGTGGTCACAACAAGTATTACATTTTGTCTGAACAATGGTTTGCTTGTCACGCTGTTTTACGATCGTTGCTTGAAAAATCAAATGGGAAAAAATAACGCAACTATGTGTTTCATGAACGCAGTTACAATTCCACAACGACAAAATATATATTATGGCGTAGCAAACAATATTTATATATATATAATAATAATATCTCGCATATAAATATATATACTATATATATATTTATATTTCAATCAATATAGGAAACAGTATTATCGATATATCACATATACAATATGTATTTAGAAGAAGGCGAATTATTTTATTAGAAAAGAAAGAAAATGAAAGATTGGACCTTCGTAGAATGTGTCAGACCGTTCGAATAACGCACGATCATCAAAATTCTTGATCCCACCATTTCTGCGATTTGTAATTAATACTTTTGCGTGTTCGAACAATTTTCTGGCGAGGAATGTTTCACATATTTCGCTTGGCTGGTTTCTTGCCCTCTCCTCGTACGAAGAGGGAAAAATGCGAGACCTTCGCGCGAGCTGGCTTACCTATATTCGTACGAAATCTTGTGACTGGCTAAAAATGCGTATGTGTGATCCTGTGTGGCAAACGTGTGCAATAAATCAAACTTGTTCGTATACCTAAATGGCGAACATCGAGTTACGCTAACTAAAAAGATAACAATACTGGTGTCGTTCTATCGTCGACGTTAACACGACGTTGAACCTAACAGCTAAAAATACGTACAAAACGCATGTACAACGTGTAGCCATAGCCAGAGACTCTGAGTGTCGCGTTCGCGATCGAGGAAATCGATACACGCGAATAAAACGTCGAGACAGCACCGTCTGTCACGAATTTCGAGCTCGTTTTCAAACGCACAGCGAAACGAACGTTCGTTAAGATAATCCTGTTCCTAGTCTTTTAAATATTTGTACCAAATAAATCTCAGAACGATCAAAACTTATATCTAGTGAATTTCCGTTCAGGAACATCGTTGTTCACCTCCGCTTATGTTCATTCGCGATCAACCTCTGCAAACTTCTTTTGTAGAACATCTCTGGAAACCTTTCTGTCAACCTCTGTCTGAATCAATTTCGACAAACAAAGTCTTGTTTGTCAACAATGGCGGACAAATGTCTGAACGGAACCAAGCTTATTGTCACAGTATTAAAGGCGGTCGCTACGAAAGCGACAAACGATCACGGATGGACGAGGTTAACGTATAACGTTATCGTTGCCATGAGAACTTGTCGAAGGTTCAATAAATAACTTTGTTTCACGGCGTCTATGGTCATCCACATGATCATCGGTCACTATTTGTCGGTTGTCTCCTAGCTGCCCAACCTGGTCGGTTGTGGCAGTCTGCAGATTGCGTTGTGGACGGGCATGGACAACCATCCTGCCAGCGCGATTCCGATCGAGTCGGCCATTGTCGCTATTCCTAGAGATATTTTGCGATCTGCCCTCGGAATCTGTGAAGTATGATATATTGTTATTTACAATATTAGCTACAATGTTACTGGTGTTATTTTGGAGTAGGTGCACAGTTTGCATTACCTCGGTGGACATTCGGTAGAACGTGTTCACATACGCTCCGCCACCCAACAGTCCTTCCCATAATACAAAAGCAAAGACGATCCAAACGCTCGGCATGTAATAGTACAGTGTCTCGAACAACAGGAATATGACGTTGATGAACTGAAACAAACAAGACAAATGTGTACACACTCCGCTTTCAGGATTACAGAAAGATTCGAGAGTAAATAATCACCTGTAAAACAGCCATGATCCAGATTTTGTTAATCGTAACGAGATTAACGGATGATCTTGAAATAAATACTCCGATCTGATAATCCACCTGAAGCCAACGATACTGGGCCGCGTGGGTTAGCCAGATGTCATCGAACTCGATCAGTTCGTACTGAAAAATGAACACCATGAAACACCCGTACACCATGATACTTTTTCCTAAATTATAGTTTGAATTTCTAAATCGTACTCTGTTTCCGCTACGATTTCATAACAGTTGCAAAGAAAAAAAAGAAGTAAAAAGCAAAGAGATATTTTACGTAAGCGCATGAAGCAAAAAGGCATTACCAATCCTTGGTTAATGAAATATTCGAAGAGATACACGAGTCCAAGCGGAATCATGTACTTCAGCAATCCCGGTACCAGATTGATCTTTTCTTTAAAGCTCTTCCTAGGAACCTCAATGATGTGTTCTTGGCTGTCGATACCGTTCTTTGTGATCGGAATGCTGGACTGCGGTGGATGAACCAGAACCAACCAGAACGTGATTCCTTGTACGATCGGTACGATTAACATAAGCAATAATGTATCTTCGTTGCTCAACCAAGTGGTGAGAGCGGCATATGATAGCGCGCCAATTATTCCGGCGCCTCCAGTACCGGAAGACCATGTTGCTATTACTTGTCTGCGAAACAACGAATCGCTCTCAATTAATAACAATGATGGGCAATGATGCCGATTAACAGACGATATCGGGTACAGCTGTCAGGGTAATTGTCTAACTATGTCAACTGACGCGCTGTACGGAGATGAAATGGCGATGTTGACTTATGGTAGATCTGGACTATTGATAGAAGCTGTATTGTTCGTTTGGATATGTGTTGGGGTTATAGAAGTTTGATATGTGGAATTTGGGGCTTGAGAAATTGGGGATTTGGAGTCTGAGGATTGGGAGATGTGGAATTTGGGGGTTGAGAAATTGGGGATGAGGAATTTAGGAACCTGAGGATTTGGAGGTTTGAAATTTGAACACGTGGAATTTGGGGATGTGGGATTTGGGGTTTGAGGATTTGGAGATTTGAAATTTGGACGCGTGGAATTTGGGGATGTGGGATTTGGGGTTTGAGGATTTGGAGATTTGAAATTTGGACGCGTGGAATTTGGGGGTGTGGGATTTGGGGTTTGAGAATTTGGAGATTTGAAATTTTGACGCGTGGAATTTGGGGGAGTGGGATTTGGAGACCTGAGGATTTGGAGATTTGAAATTTGGACGCGTGGAATTTGGGGATGTGAGAATTTGGAGATTTGAAATTTGGACGCGTGGAATTAGGGGACCTGAGAATTTGGAGATTTGAAATTTGGACGCGTGGAATTAGGGGACCTGAGAATTTGGAGATTTGAAATTTGGACGCGTGGAATTAGGGGACCTGAGAATTTGGAGATTTGAAATTTGGACGCGTGGAATTAGGGGACCTGAGAATTTGGAGATTTGAAATTTGGACGCGTGGAATTAGGGGACCTGAGAATTTGGAGATTTGAAATTTGGACGCGTGGAATTAGGGGACCTGAGAATTTGGAGATTTGAAATTTGGACGCGTGGAATTAGGGGACCTGAGAATTTGGAGATTTGAAATTTGGACGCGTGGAATTAGGGGACCTGAGAATTTGGAGATTTGAAATTTGGACGCGTGGAATTAGGGGACCTGAGAATTTGGAGATTTGAAATTTGGACGCGTGGAATTAGGGGACCTGAGAATTTGGAGATTTGAAATTTGGACGCGTGGAATTAGGGGACCTGAGAATTTGGAGATTTGAAATTTGGACGCGTGGAATTTGGGGATGTGGGATTTGGAGACCTGAGGATTTGGAAATTTGAAATTTGGACGCGTGGAATTAGGGGACCTGAGAATTTGGAGATTTGAAATTTGGACGCGTGGAATTTGGGGACGTGGAATTTAGGGTTTGAGAACTTGGAAATGTAGAATTTGGGGTTTGAGAACTTTGAGATGTGGAATTCAGAGACCTTGAAGATTTGATACTTTGATAACTTTAAAATTCAACAATATAAAAATACGAAGATACAAGAATTTTAAAAAGTAATTTAAAGATTCGGACTTAAAGATCTCACCAACATCTCCATACAACGCACACAAAAAAAAAACAAAGTATTACAAAATAAAAACCGAGATCTCTTCGAGCCTTCTAAATTCTTCAGCAATATCAACACGTGTTATCAATTTCGCGCACGCTTCTTTCAATAAACTTTTTACTGAATAAAATTGTTATTAATTGTTAGTAAAGAACGTATATATAAAAACACAAATGTGAAAGGAACGTATTGATTAACGGTTATTACACATAAGTACAGACGTACCTCGTGCTCGCAACGAGTTTTTCAGTAATCCCGTACTGTACTTTTTTTATTACTTTTATCTTATTTTTGTAGCATAACACTTTATTATATTTTTCTCTACTTTGAAAGATGGAAGGCCAATCTGCCGACTGCATTATCTTATCGCTACTTTTCTGGAACAACTGTCTAAATGTCAATATTGCGGTCTGATTGCGCGGCTGCCTTCTATAATACCTGCATCAATAGACTTTACATCGTATCTGTCTTATCTTTCATTATTCTTTTCTGCACTCAAAATTTTTACCTGCTCTCACTTTTTTCCTAATTTATTTCTATTCGCTCGCGCGCTGTGATCCTCGTGCGTCGCTAAGATCAAAGACACACAGGTGATCGATTATTATCGTCTGCTAGATGAAACAGAAAGTATGAACGGAACGTACGGTTCACCACGTGCAGCTTTTTAGAAACTATTCTCTACAGTAATGCCCCGTTAGTGGTACAAAATTCTTCCCCTTTAATAATCATACATTTATATAGTAATACATTTAGTCATACATTTTATATATTCTTATACTCTTTATTTTATAAACATTAGACTACTTTAACCACACGTTTCATGATTCAATCAAAGTCAAATGGAAGAAGTGTCTGGACTTTAGATTTGAACGATAAAAAGCAACAATGGATTTCAACATGCTCTAAAAATAAAGTACAGGAAGATAATGTCAGTACAAAAGAGATATATCATTGTCGATAATTTTACAGTTCGTCGAAAGACAAAAATTTTATGCAAAACTGTATGATAACAGAATATATTTACAACAGATATATTATACATATAATGAATATCAGAGTATAATTTCTAAAATATACACCTATCTAAAACCCCTTGTCCACTAACCGAACATCACCGTAACCCCCGAAACAAACAAGTAAAAAGAAGATCATGCGAACTGAAGAGAAAGACAGAAAGAGATCAACGTTCGATCACAAGAAAATTAATGGTACTTACTTGGGATACTGGTGACTGTAACTCAGCAGTGTAACTTCTCCCAAACCGGAAGAGATAGACGTTACAACGACACCCAGAATGGCGAGCCATTCAGTAGTGCTCAACGACACCACAAGGAATCCTGCAGCGGAAAATAACACACAGGTAGCCAGTCGAGCACTGTAATTAACGATTCGAATAATCGATTAGCGTTTCATTCACGGGAAATAACGGCGTGCCCGCGGAGGGACACAACTCCGGAGATGATCCGTTTCCCCGAGAAGCCACCGTATGTGTATGGGCAGCTCTCTTTTGCCCGCAGAAAGCAACGTTTAGCAGATAAATGCGAGAAGCTCCTGTCGATGCTCCTAAATCACTTTGCTTTGAATCACTTTCATTTTTGTCGAATGAAAGTCTTCAAGTTTTATATTCGCAATTCTGGATGTGTAGAATGTAAGAAATTAAGATAAAAAATTAAGGATAGGAAATTAAGGGATGATATGGGAAGGCAATTAAGTAGATTAGAAATTGTGAGAGATACAAAGCATATGAGGTGATTTAATATGGGAGCATCATGTATGTTGATATGATACGTTGTGAATATTTCAGAATTCTCACGATCTGTGATGTTAAATAGTACTGTCAATGTTACAGTATTGTGTCAAGTGTTACAATATTGTCAAGTGTTACTAAATCCTCGAATTCCTAGATTTGAACATTTTTGAAGTCCAAAACTTACAGGTGCCCACATTTCTAAATTTTTCTAATCCTAACCTACCAAGTACCTATAATATGAAATAGCAAAAGTTCTCAAATTGTCAAACCTAAAAATACCACACCCCCAAGTGTACAACTCCCACATCCTCGACTCTATAAATTCCACATACTCAAATCTATAAATTCCACATACCCAAACCTCCAAAATCAAAGAACTGAGAACCCTGAAATATTAACCAGAATCGCGAACAAAGCTCGAGACTCAGAAATGAAAATTCGCTTAAAATTGAAAGTAATCCGAAGCTCAAACAGACTGACCCGTTGGAAAACTTCCATTATGCAATGAACTTTCCGCGGAACCGGTATGACTCCTGATTTCACCGTCGCTTCTCGAACAGTCTATGTAAATATGACTCTGCGATATTATCAGTAAAAGATAGCGTCGATAAGATACGTCACGTACGGAATGAAAAGTCGCTCCAAAACAAGAAGTAGAAAATCCTAACACGCCTACCAATGACTAATGTCGTGTTTATCTAACTTATCTGGAATTCGGTGATCTTCGACCGGTCACATTGTTTCGTGCTCGTGGCTATGATGTATCTTGCGATGATTACGCAAAGATTAAGTGATTGAAGGAAAAGAACGAATGATACTCACTGTACGTAAAACGGCAGGAACGGTGTGATTATTTTCACCGCCAACGATGGCAATATGTCCGCCAATAATATAGCACCGGTCGATAGAGTGTTGCACGATCTGATTCCTGTGGTGTTTGTTGCCTCGATAGTGCTGTTACTCACGGGTTCCTTAATCAATAACGGAAAAGCGGCAAAAAAAAGGGAAACGATCGATTAGTTCTTAATTTCCATATCGAACTGCGGACATAGAATTATGTAAAACCGGTAAATCAGCTTCGTCTGTATCATAATTTATCCGTAATTCGGTTCGACTGACGGAAATGATCGAACGCCGATATCTATTTTCACGGACATTACCACCTTGAACGAGCTGAATATTAATTTCCGCGGCTTATGTAACCGATTCGCGGTTGAAAGACTCGAAGCCCATAACGAATACACGCATAAATTTGTCGATGACATAACGAAAATTCCTTTTCGCGCACGAGAATCTGTTCCGAGACGTAATTCAGCTTAATTGTTCGTTGCTTTAACGATTTTCTTTCCCCCGCCCGTTGTGTTTGCATCACGAGGACGATCACGAGAAACGTCGTTAAACGACGCTGTTAATTGAGCGGAACACCGTCAATCGAGACGGGGACTAATTAAAGTGTAAGAATTTTACTGCTGGATTCCACTCGAACGATGATCTGACGCTGATTAGATGTCTTCGGATTTCAGGCCTATCTCCGATTAAATTTATGTAATTCTTTGCTCTTTTTTATGTAACGTTCATTCTATGCAACAAGCTCTATTATATAGTTGATATATTCTATGCAACAGGCTCTTTTAGTTTACAATACCTCAGCATTGTGGCAGCCATTATTAATGCATTGACCGAAGTAATTTTCAAATGTGTTCGTAGAAAATTTGTTGAATTCAAAGTTATCCGAAATGTGTACAGTGGAAACATCCGTGAACTTGAAGCATCGTTAGCGGCGGTAATAGTCGCTCATTACAGCAGATGTTTCGTTAATTTGCACGATAACGCAACGACACAAAAGACGCCGCATCAGCAGCGAACAAAACGATTATTCGGATATGAAAAGACGGCGAATAATTGTTTAACGACTGCATACCAAGTTTTGCAATTTTTACGTTCTCCGCTCTACTTAATAAAAGATCGTTAACTCTCTAAATGTTATTACACGCTTGTCAAGTAATCTTGTACAAATCTGAGGAAGACTAAATATGTTTTATGAGTCATAAACGTGTTTATATAACCATGTAATATACTAAATTAATACAACTATTTTAAAACTCTGTCTTGGAAATATGTAACCAGGAAAGATCGAATATCTGGAAAACTTCTTGTACATCAAAATCGTGGAGGCTGGCCAACGCGTTGTTCAATTGGTACGCTTACGAAAAGACGCCTCCTTATTTGGTTGACCCCAATCGAGTCAATGGACAAAAGGAAACGCGTGTCTGCAATTTCGTCACAAATTAATTTGATCAACGCTGTTGTACGCAAATATTGTGGGTTCCTTTCATAAAATTTTAAGTTGCACACCCGACATATGACTCCTACATAAAAATCGTATGTGCAATTAACTTATTATTCAACTAAACTTTATATCAAAAAATCTTTATATCTTCAAGTCTGTAAATTTTGGAAACTTTGAATCTTTAAATTTTTGAAACTCTGAATCTCTAAATTTTTGAACCTTCAAATCCTAAAATTTTTGAAACTCTGAATCTCTAAATTTTTGAACCTTCAAATCCTTAAATTTGTGAAACTCTGAATCTTTAAATTTTTGAAACTTCAAATTCTGAAATTTGTGAAACTCTGAATCTCTAAATTTTTGAACCTTCAAATGCTTAAATTTTCAAAACTCTGAATCTTTAAATTTGTGAACCTTTAAATCTTTTAAATTTCTGAAACTCTGAATCTCTAAATTTTTGAACCTTCAAATCTTTAAATTTTTGAAACTCTAAATCTCTAAATTTTTGAAACTTCAAATCTCTAAATTTTTGAAACTCTGAATCTCTAAATTTTTGAACCCTCAAATCCTTAAATTTTCGAAACTCTGAATCTCTAAATTTTCGAAACTTCAAATCCTTAAATTTTTGAATCTCCAAATCTTTAAACCTTGAATTAAATTTTGCACCTTAAATTCAGAACTTGAAGTAATAATTTAAAGTGTTTTCGAAAAAGTGTAAAGGCGATGTTTTGCAGCGAGAAACCGATATGCAAAGTATGTGAAGTGCGTGGGCGTAAAACGTAGCACCGTCGACCAATGATGTCGCAACCTTAGCGATGATCAATTCAGCAGATTACGTCTCGGAAAAGGAGGAGCCATGAAATATTCGACCAATAACGCGTTCGAAATTGTTTGCGACAGTTTCGCATCGAGCAATTTCGATCGGATCGTTTGTCCGAACTTTTCCATCGCTCTGCGGGTGTTCCGTGGCAATTGGAGCGTAATCAAATAACAATCAGGAATTCAATCGATACGAGGACCTAATCGTGGTTCTGTAACGTAGCCGGATTATTCAGCGACCGTATTATTTGCTACACTGTAGCTGCACACCATTATCGCCACGTTGCAATTTTCCTGTTTATAGTTTTATGGAGTTGGCACAAAGAATCGAAACTTTCGATGACTGCGTGTTCTTTCGCAATCTCTTGATTCGAGAGATTGCTGACTCGATCTGATTACGGTGCGTTTACACCGGCTCGATTACTTTTCATGTAACACTTCGACATCTTATTTTGTCATTAATTGCGGTACTATAATCTAATCTACTTACACAGCTGTTACATTTTATCGATGTTACATTTACCTTTTAAAGTCGTGTAAACTTTTTAATAGCAGAATTTTTTCGACTTCACATTCTTTGCAAGACAGAGGATTACATATGATTTATTGACTATAAGGTAGTGATGGGTTGTATTAACATCACTTCTTAATTGTACTTGAAACGTAAGTACATGGTTGTGAAACACGCATGTAACACGGATAGTCGCTTGATCTTGACAAAGTTCAAGTGCAAAGAAGGAAGTCTGCTTTTACCAAAGTGGATAAAAAATCTGATCACTTATCTTCCATCTAATCTCCATTATCAGACTTTATGATCCATCTGATCATAATTGGAAAAATTAAATTGAGTAAATATTAATTTATGATCAATTTTGAGGTAACTTTTATTAGACTCTGAAAAGCAAATAGCAACGAAAGTTCGTGTGCACTCAGAGTTTAGAGAACACGCATGAGTCATGGACTGTAAACGTACAGTTTACCGCTATTAAATATAAATGCGATTGAACCGAGAATGCTATTAAAACTATGGACGATTTGACCCAGTGATGACCGGTTGCACCCGTGGGCGTATAATACAAGGACAGCGGTGTGCAGCCACCGATATGCAACGCTGTAACCACTCGATGAATTGAATCGCGTAGAATCGAATTATGCCGAATTGAATTATTCCAAAGTGGATTATGTCGAATTGAATCGCTGGTATCCAGTGTCGAGTGGAATCAATTGGCGTATTTAAGGCTCGGTGCATCTTCCTACCCTAAATCCTCAGAAGTTATTGTAATTTTAAGAATAATATCTTTCTTGATAATTATCTTTCTCGCGTCATAATTGTAGGAGAATAAGAATTTACTATAACTTTGAATTTTACAATCTAAACAAGATTCCTTTACATCCCTCAGATCTGCCCTAAATGTTTCAACAAACTCCCCCAAATTTTTTAGTAAACTTCCCTAAGTCTTTCAGTAAGTTCACAAAAAATTGTAACGACGCCAATGGATCGAATGGCGTATCGAATCGCGCAAAATTGAGTTCCGCCGTATCGAATCGCGACAAATTGAATCACCTCGAGTCGAATCGTCAAATTGAATATATGCATACCGACGCCCGATTTAAGTCCAAAATCGTGGAGTATATTTCCGACCGAAAAACTCAGCGACGCGAGACATCGAATATAAAATTGCATGTAAAGATCGAAGCGTCACGGACGCGTATCGTTGCCGGAAACGAGATGGAACTCGTCCGCCATTCTACGAATAAGGCATTACGGTACCGTTAATTATAACCGCCTAGTCCGTGCTTTATGCGGCTCTAAGAATAACAGCCTCTTCTTGCGTATCGAATTTCACCGCTACTTTCTTACCGATAAGTGCCTGCGCGATCTACCTGTGCGACCAAGTATCCAGGTATCGTTTTTATCGTTCGAGTCGGGTAAAAAGGGGACCGTCCCCCTTTCCCCGTCAAACGAAGCTGATTCGCCGATAAATCGTTGATGTCTACTTACCGTCGTGCCGAATTTGCTCTCGAGGATATCGTGCGCGGCACTGAGCATCACCACGTATCCGTAATTGTTGCAGAGTCCTAATACCCAGAAGGCGGCCAAATTTCGCCATCGCGATCTGACAGCCACCGATTCCTCGTCGAACACGTCATTCGTGCGGCGCTCCGGCGGAGACAACGGTTTGCCCTTTCCCATCTTGATAAGCGATATCTTTCTCTCTATTTTTTTTGGTCCCTTCGAGTTTCCCGTTCGGCTGTCGTCGTGTGACTCGTCCTTTCGGTTCCTTCGTTGCTCCTGCTTTCCCAGGCCCTTTCTTTCCGTTCCCCTCGCTTTTCCCTCCTCTTTGTCTCCTAGCGGGCCTAAATAGAGCACGTGGGCCTTCTAAATCCGTTCCGAGCACAGTTTAGAAATTCCCACTACTTCTATCTTTTTCCCTCTTTCTCTCGAAGATGACGCACTCCCGTCTCTCTCTATCCCGTCGCTCCTCCTTTTCGAGCGGGTTTAGAGTCAGCGGCGAACCAAGCTTCGAGAAACTTCTCTGTTGCCGTTTCCTTTTCCAGCGCGGGCTTTATTTTCGTTCCTAGGCTAACTTGGCCCTTTCTAGATCTACGAATCGCGGAACCTTTTATCAAGGTTCAGCCGAAGGAGAATGGCAAATCCTTGCCTCGATGAAACGAAGGGAATGCCAGAGAATATCTATTTATGGTCCCAGCCGTGTTTATTCTCGACTTTGGTTCGATCGGACGGGTTTTTCAAAGATCTCCGAAAATTACGTCACAAGAGCCGCGACCTATGCGAACACAGATATCCTCGGTTCAGGACGGTCCCTTTTTACTCGGGAATCTCTCCCTCCACGACACGAGTGTGTCAGCACCAGCGGACAACTCCGAGTAGAAGCGGTAACCACAAGCTTCGAGAAACTTCTTTCTCGCTTTCTTCTCGTTCGGCTGCGCGCGCTACGAGCCGCGAATTCTTGTTCTCTCGTGCGAATTCCTCGCCGATCAGGTACGATTTGGATCGTTCGTTTCTTTTACTCTTCTATAATCTTCCCCTCTACCACTTTCGCCTTATCGTATTATCGGGAGTCGATTAAAGTTCATAGAAAGATAATCTACCGGAAGGCTACAGAACTGTTTCCCCACTACGCGGATCTTTCGAACAATTTTCAATGGGTTCACGTGGGACGCCGTAGGTAGACAATCGTTGTTTTCCCAGGAAAACTTGGCCTCGGTGACTGACTCCAACGGAGAACTGTTAAAATACCAAAGTCGAGTGACGTCGATTAACATTGCAGATTCGTGCCGACGTAATACATGCGTTTATACTTTGCAAAAAATATTTGTGTCTTACGGAAGTGATTTTCCTATCAAGCGATTTTTTACATTCTTCATTGTAGCAATGTTCAAATAAAAATTTTAAATTACAGAGACACAGTTTGATTATTCGAAATTTTCATGTGGGGGATTCTGTTTTGACCACTTTTAGTAGTAATGTTTTAGATAAATATTTGAGTTCATGTACCAATTACTATCTCTACGTATCTTCTAGAAACTGTGTTTGATTTCGACTGAGTTTCAACACAGTGAAAGATAAGGTTGAATATCAGGCGCGAAGTAACAAAAAAAGGAAACTAATTCTTCAGAAAAAAATTGAATTTTAACTTTGTTTACGATACGTAGCAAAATGGTAATTTTTGAAAAACATGTACTACCGGAAAGATAAGAGTAATGAAAAATTCATGCACCGTTTATCAAGTGGTTGAGAATTGATTGTTGAAATGCAGCAGTTTTTCAGGATTTCTGGCACGAAAGTATTCGTTTTCTAAATCTTATTAAGTTAACTTTTTTAGAGCCAATTGTATAAATAACTACGGCTTTTTGTGATTAAAAATTATTGTGTCATTTTAGTAACGGACTCAAGAGAATTATCTAACAAGTCTAAGGTTATCGACTAAATTAGACTGCATATGCACATAACAAAGTCCGGCGATTGTATTTTAGTCGAGATTTGTAATGTTACAAAGTACTGTTGCTTTTGAGAAAAACTGTGCAGTGAAAAAGAGGGATAGGTGCTGTTACAATAAACAGTCTATTCGTGTTGCACACGTAACGCCAGCTGCTTTCAGAACTGGACAATGGCGTAGATAGGGTGGATTCATCCCTTTAGAAATTATTGCGATATGTGTGGGTCAGAATACGATGGATTTTTCTAGGGATCAGAGTACAGTTTGGAAATTTGGGAATTTGGAAGTTTGGGAGTTTGGGAGATTGGGAATTTGAGAGATTGGAAATTTGGGAGATTTGGAATTTGGGAGATTGGGAATTTGAGAGATTGGAAATTTGGGAGATTTGGAATTTGGGAGATTGGGAATTTGAGAGATTGGAAATTTGGGAGATTTGGAATTTGGGAGATTGGGAATTTGAGAGATTGGAAATTTGGGAGATTTGGAATTTGGGGGGGAGATTGGGAATTGGAGAAATTTGGAATTTGGGAGATTGGGAATTTGAGAGATTTGGAATTTGGGAGATTGGGAATTTGAGAATTTGGAAATTGCCAAGTTTGAAAGTTCATAACTTAGAAATTTTATAAAGTTCTAACATCCTTCAATTTAGGTCCTCTAATTACATCGCCATATCACAAGTTACATACTCAATTCCCAAAATCTTCCCCTAAATCCCTATACCTTCCCCAAAAACCTTCCCCATTCACTTCCATACCTATCGCATAACTCATTTACCCCAAGAAAGCTAGTTACGCCAATGGAACGAGCATCGCCCACGAGTACACCTCAGCGTCCATCCCCGTAAATCTTGTTTGCGAGTTTTAAACGTTTCGATTCCGTCTGCACATAAGTGTGAACGATAAGATGCAGAAAGAAATAACTGCGTTCTCATAAAACTAGAATAGGAAGCAAAATGAAAGACGACTCATGGGTGGTTTTATTACGCTGTTGATAAAATACATCTTAATTATAATTAAATTGATGTCCTTGCTAGTTTTATTCTTGGAAGCTGTCTGGAAGGATTATTTCTGTCTGTCGACCCTGACGACATTGTTGTAACTGGAGTTTTTCGTTTGGAGTAAATTAGGATCTCAATTTTTAATAATAGTGTTAGGTAGATATTAAAGTTTGGTAAACGATGTAGGTATTAAAGTTTAGAGAAGGTTGAATGGCTGAATGTTTTGAGATTTGGAGATTTGAAGATTGAGTGATTGAGAGATTGAGAGATTGAGAAATTGGGAGATTGGGAGATTCACAAATTTAGTAATTTCAAAGTTTAGGAATTAGGGGATTTGAGGACTTGGAAAATTTGAAATTGCAAAGCTGAGAATTGGAGGGTTTGAAAATCTGAAAAATGGGAAGTTAGGCATTTAGCAAACTTAGGACATTTGGACATTTGAAAATTTAGAAATTGGGGCGTTTGAGAAGTTGGAAAATTGAGAATTCGGGGGTTTGAGGATTTGGAAAATTAGAAATTAGGGGATGTGAGAAATTGGGAAAACAAAGTTGGTAATTTGAGAAATCAGAAAGCTGAGACTTGGTGATTTAAAGATTTAAGAGATGGGAAGTTAAACCTTCAGCAAGCTCAAATTTTAGAAAACTTGTCAACTTGAAACCTTGAAAAATGAAAAAACTCACTGCCCATTGCTTATTACCCACGTTCGAAACATCGCGTGCATAATTTTCCCTGCGAAATAACGACTTTTTCACACGAAACGCGCCATATACCAATACAGCGGAAGGCTACGACGATTGCGTTATCTGAAATCGTTCGACATTGAAAACGCTCATCCTATAAATAAGTACAAATGTTCGACTCGATTTATCGTAAGTTTCTGTCGACTAAAATTATTAGAGCCGTCAACTTGCTGTTGGTAATCGGTTATCGTAGTCATAACGCGAGGTTAACGTACAATTCGAGCGATCGTTTATCGCGACCCGTTGAAAACAGCTTCCGGTAAGTGGTACGTTTTCCTCGACAACGTTTCTAGGATCGAGAATACATGCATGTTCTCATCGTAGACGTCTATTGTTGGAAAGTTGGCCGGGGACACGATCCGTTTCCACGATAACCGAGTTCGAGCTGTTTCGCGGTCATGCCACTTTTTATCTGTCGTTGTCAGAGGTCTTTCTGCATCGATGAATGACTCCCGCGAAAAAGGCGCCACGAATTTCGCAAGTTAGCGCAATATTTGCTCTACGAGGCAACTTTTGGAAGCAACTTTCCACAATTTTCGACTGTACTGAAGTTCGTGGCTGCACAAAAATGAGTGCGTTTTAAAAAATGTGTACTTATTAGCAAGTGCAGTCTCGTAATCCGATGAAGGCAAAACAGATCCAACTTCTTGTCAGAAACTGATTGAAAAGTGACCACAGACAATCGATACTGATCTAATCTAACATCTCGAGCAGCAAGAAGAAACGCAACTCTTCTAGCAAAAAACTGGAGCTAGCTAGTAATAGGTGTAGAAAGGAGTACATATTCCAGAAGTATGAAGCTTGATACCAGGAAATTGGTTACTCCCACAAAAAAACTCAGAAGACCTTTTTTACAGAGAATTTCATAAGCTACAAATTTTGTAATAAGCATTTTTGTTATAGAATTGGCGGATAACGAGATATTCGCTAATAACTATTTCTTCGATCTACCTTTCTGAACGTACCGAACCTACTTGTGAACGGTGTTCGATTTTTGATAAAATCGGTGAAACAAGGGAGCGCAGCAGAATTCTGAAAGCTAAGGAACCACTGGTTACAGTTATTTTCGTAGCTCGAGGCATAATCTTGTGCTCTTCTGCGAGCGCAAGTTTGAACGAATGAGTTACATGGTGCATGGATTTTCGCAATATACAAAGAGTCTATTAAGTGAAATCTGTGTCAGAAATCGGGTTGATTTATAGAGAGCAGGAATCGCTAACAGATCTCGAATTAGCGATTATCCAAGCTACCGATACAAGATTTGTTTCGAAAGATACTCACCTGAACGTTTCGTCGATCGTGGCGCTAGAATCTAAATGGTCCCCAAAGATAAATATATCACAAACACAGATCACAGCAAAAGGACCTATATCACAGGAAAAATTCTCGACCGAAGCACTGTCAACACTGAAACAGGCCTGACAATGTCCTAAAGGAAAAATCGATAACTAGAAGCTATCTTCTATAAGGGAGTTCAATGCACCTCAGTGAAAAAAATAATTCCAAAAACACTTGGATGCACGAGTATCCCTTCGCAATTACTTTGTTTTCCCCTCGTAATTTCTCGCGATTGCAATTAATCGCCGCGTTCTCGTTTTTCCTTTCTCTTTTAGCAGTCGTGCTGGGTGACGCGACGCGATCGATGATATCGCCAGGAGAAAAGACAGTCTGTCGAGTTCGCAGCTGCGATCGTAGACGCACGTGGTTGACGCGGCGAGTTTCAGGTTCGAAATAAATAAGCTCCAGGCGAAATCAGCGAGTTATAGCGCGGCGACGCAGGCGCGACTCCAGTCGAGTCGGCTCGGACGATCGGCAAATGAGCATTCCGCTCGCACACTGTGCCCCCAGATCGTTCCACCGGCTCGGAACAGACGGCAGTCGACTCACGACCGTCGAGTCGGCCCATTCTTCCTTTCCCATCATTTTCCTGGGTTCTATAGTCTTCTTCTTCAA